AGTGGACGAAAAAAGGCACCAAAAATAACTCAAATGAGGTGGATGAAATTAAACATGCTTAGTGGAACCAAATAAACTTGCCACCAAACAACGACCTGCAATAAACTTTTCCCATGAGAATTTGAGAATTAAATGAAACCATTTAATTCTCTCAATTAACCAACTACCAACAGTGAGCCTCCTTCAATTAAGGAGGGATTTACCTCAATTTGCATGCTAGTGTAACCAAATTTGAGCGGGGAGGTAAATTGTTATTCAACTTTTATGTACTAAGTTGAGTTTTATTCGTTTCTTAGGTATATCGAAGTGTAGAATGCTCAGTGGGGTTTCAAAGTTTAGTTTTTGGATCAGGAGAGTAGCTTAGACAATAGGTGAGTACAACATTGTGTAATATATTATTATGACTTGAGTTTGTAGAGCGTTAATCGTTCTTGAATAAACTGATTATTGTTGTTTTATAAAATAAATGATTTGGTTTAAAACATATGAACTTGTTTGTCAACGGTTCATAGATAAACTGATTATCTTTCAAAGACCAAAACTTTGATTGCATAGGTGCAATTAACTCTTTTTTTTCTTCATGGAGTGCAGAAGAGCAAAAGACCAGCACACAAATACAAAATAAATGGCCTGGAAACTAAATCTTCTACCATAAATGGGTTCTTGAATTTGATTTTTTTTTCTTTTTTAAATCTTCATTGTCTTCTCATGGTTCTTCATATTGATTATTATAATTATTCATTTGTATTCTATCTTTTTTGTCGCATTTTTGCATGTGTTATGGGTTTACTGTCTTTCAATACGTTTTTGGCTTGAAATGAACAAGTTTCCCTTCCGCCAAATAAAATGAAATCACATAATGGATTTATAAAATCAAGACATTTCTTCAAGACTTTATTTTGATGCCAGACACAAATTTCTTTTTCAATTGCAAAAATTACAACTTTAATGGCATAAGAAAAGTCAAAGTGTAAACCTTGATGCACATCTGCAAGAACTAGATTAGTAGTTGAGAGAGATGAAGGGATTAATTGGAAAGGATAAGGTGTGATTGCACAATTCGTAGTGGTGAATCAATTTTTTTTTCTTATTTTCATTTCCACATGTAACTAGTGAGACAATCACATATGGCCTTAATTAACTCTCTCACCCTACAAATAAGAAAATATTGGAGCCACAAGGATGATAAGTTGTGCCTGCAACCCATCATCTTTTTTTTTGGAACCCATCGTTCTTCGCAGGGGCGGAGCCACACTGGGACCAGTGTGGTCCCCCGCCCCCACTCAAGTTTTTTTATATTTTAAAAGTAATACACTGTTATGTATTTGTATATGTATATTATTTCAAATACTTTACGTTTTGATATGTACCCACATGTATTGTGGCGGACTTATTAAGGCACAAGGAGGTAGTTCAAATTGCGCCCTTGCTCAACTAGTGGTGATGCACTCCAGGTGTACAGATTACCTTATTTCCATTTTCAACATGTAAGTAAATGTCATTTGACTTAAAGTCATATGACAAAGACATTTACTTAAGTTTACAATGTAAATAAGGAAGTACCCCCTATTTGGATTCAAATAAAAATACTAGAAAATCAAATTCCCACCAAATCAAAATATGAAAAATCGATTTTAGTGTAAAATACGATTTAGGCTAAAAATAATGGCTCATTAAGTCAATATATACTTCATACTAAAATCCCATAAAATCAAGTTTTCTTATTTCATGTGTAAGGAAGAAAAGCCGCCAAAAATTATCTTGAGAAAATGATTATTCCAAAAAACCATTTTTCATACTTAGTCAATATTTTTTCATGTATGATATGAATGCATAAAGGGGCCTAAGGTTGTTTTTAATTTGGGAAATTTTGATTTTTTTTTCTTTCTATTGGGTTTAATGGGGGGGGAAAGCTTTAAAGATATTTGCTAAATTGCTACTTTTTGTCTATCTCTTGCAATTTTTCTTGTTTAGAATGTATTTGTCTATCCCTTTGTCAAGAACAATTATGATTGCAACCAATAAGCAATATAATTCTTGATATGTGATATATATACACTATTTTTTGTATGTATTATGAGTTTAAATTTTTATTTTTTATAATTTGTAAGAGGCCCCCACACACATGAAATCCTGGCTTCGCCACTGGTTCTTCGTATTCCAAATATAAGAACAAGGGGATGAACCCAAACTAAAGGCCCTTGATATTTTTAAGGAAAAGAAATGGGTGGTCGATATTTGTTTTTTATTTTTTTATTAAAGAGAAATTTTGTTAGATAAACTTCAACAATAAAATCAAAGACATCAACATAACACCTAAAGCACCAATCCCAAGAAGGCAACTAACGAACATGCTAAAAACAAAACTAAAGTTTACAAAAGCCATATTGAAACTACTAGCCCACATTATCAAAATTAAGCATAATTCCAAACAAAGCCCACAAACCTAACATAATAGAACCCTAAAGTAACCCAGGAGCCTAAATGAACCCTACCACCACCACCACCACCTAAAGAAGTGTCCTCGTGACTGCATAAAATCTTGAAGCAAGAACAAAATCTATAACGGGTTTGTGGAAAACATGGTTTCCAATGATCTACATGTGCATAAGAAGGAACATATAAACCAAAACAACCCTGCCAAAGAAAAATTGGGTGATTTGCAGTTAACTTTGTCAAATACGATGTAGAACCAAATTTTAAGAACATGAGCAGTGTCAGAGAGCGGGTTTTGGGAGAAGGATTTGATTGAGAAAATTGCCCAAAAGAAGTGATGGGAAACTTCAATATGAGCATGGCTCATAAGAAATCACCACAATGGGCTTCTTATTCAAAATGCCCCAGTGAACTTATTCAAATTTGTTAGTTTATTGACATGTATGTGGAGCTCATATATCGAATATTATAGTGCCACTTGGATTTAAATAAAAGATACTTTAAATAAAATTTAAGAATTAAAAAACAACAATAAAAACCTAGTCTGTCTCTCGTCCTCTACTCTCTCTCTCTCTCCTTTTTTTCCCCCCGCCCACCGAGGTATCACCCCCACTTCAACACCACCTCACCTCAACTACATGACCAGTCAACATCTCAACCAAGCCACCACCCGATTCTCTCAGCCCACCCATCCCCCCTCCTCTTTTCCGGCAACATCATCCTCTGCAATCCATCTCAATACCAATTTACAAGACAATTGATCAATTGAGCTCAGATGAGGTAGCTTGCAAAGCTTGATGTAGACTTGCATTCCTTTGAATTGGATATATATTGTCAGCACACCCATCCCAGATGTGGTGGATGAGAAAAATTAGTTTAGAGGGTGGAGTAGGTGGTGGTGGTGGTGGCTGTTGGGATATTGTTTGTCACATTAATTTGCATATCGCAATCTCTCTCTTCTAAGTGATTCATTGAACCATTATTCATTCATCACTAGAATTTGTTTGATATAGAACGTTTATTTAGGATATAATGGACCAAAATCTTTGGAATTCAGCCTCTTGTGAGGCCATCAAGTTATTGAGGATCTGTGCTGGGTGAGGAAAATGGAGGGGATGCGTTCTGGGTATGGTGGTCGGGGAAGAGCAGATTTGGGTAGGGTGGGTTGTTTTTTCTTTTTCTTTTTAGTTTTTTTTTTTTTTTTTTTTTTTTTTTTTTTTTTTTTTTTTTTTTTTTTTTTTTTTTTTTTTTTTTTTTTTTTTTTTTTTTTTTTTTTTTTTTTTTTTTTTTTTTTTTTTTTTTTTTTTTTTTTTTTTTTTTTTTTTTTTTTTTTTTTTTTTTTTTTTTTTTTTTTTTTTTTTTTTTTTTTTTTTTTTTTTTTTTTTTTTTTTTTTTTTTTTTTTTTTTTTTTTTTTTTTTTTTTTTTTTTTTTTTTTTTTTTTTTTTTTTTTTTTTTTTTTTTTTTTTTTTTTTTTTTTTTTTTTTTTTTTTTTTTTTTTTTTTTTTTTTTTTTTTTTTTTTTTTTTTTTTTTTTTTTTTTTTTTTTTTTTTTTTTTTTTTTTTTTTTTTTTTTTTTTTTTTTTTACAACGTCGTTAGTTACTTAACCCCGCCGTGGTTTTTCATAGTTTTAACGCCTTTTTTGATTTTGCGTGGTACATAGTTTTACCACGACGTCCTTAATGTAATAAGCGTCATCTTTAATGTTAAATTTTAACGACGCTTGTATTTTCGGTCGATGTTTTAAAAAGCGCGCTTTCTTAAAATATTCGCGGGACCTAAAATTTTCAGATTTGGCTCTTATTTTTATACTTCTAACCCTGAACCCTAAAATTTTCTGATTTCGCGCAACATAACATTTCGCTCTCTCACTTCATCTCTAATTCAAAGTTGGGCCAGGCTGTGTCAAATCCAATTTGGTCATAATCTGTGAGCTCTGCCAACCTGTAAGTACAAACCCTCTCTTCCCCTTGTAAATTCATTGAATGATATATTACGTTGTTTTGTTAAAGGGTTTTAGGTATATGTTTTGCGATCTGTTAATAATGTTGTTGGAGGTATGGGTTCATGGATTTTCTGTTTAATGTTTTCTTGATCACTCTCTGTTATGTTGAATATGGAATGGATTTCATTTTGTCGGATCTTTTAATCACTCTCTGTTATGTTGAATTGGGAATGGATTTATTGTTTTCATGCTTAGTATATGTTGGTTTCATGTATATGTTGGTTTCTTGCTTGGTTTCATGTCTATGTTGTGTTCTTAATAGGGTTTTGGGATCTTGAAAATAAACTGGATATCGACGCGTTTTCAGGCATACGACGACGGTTTTTACTTTAAACCGTCGTTTTTATTACTTATACACGACGGTGTTATTTAACTACCGTCGTGGTTACAATTAGACGACGTAAAATCCGTCGTCTATATATGTCAAATACGTCTGTTTTTGTTTAAAAACCGTCGTCTCTGTTGTATATTACTTGCTATTAGACTTTATGTAATCTGCTATAGTGATGGTCATTGCTTGTCTTTTCACTTTATTATATATAATAGGGTATAGTGTCGGAGATGGATAAGTCATGGATGCACTCGGATAGAAGATCGAAGGCATATGAGTTAGGGGTGGAAGCATTTTTGAACTTTTCTGTAGAAAATCTTCTAACTACCACACATATCCGTTGTCCATGTGTTAAATGTGTTAATTTGAAATTGTTTGGGGTTGGAATTATAAGGGATCACTTATACTTTAATGGAGTTGACCAAAGCTATAAGAATTGGACATTTCACGGAGAACCTTGGGAAGCAGCTACTAATGCTAGTAGAAATGTTGAAGAAGATGATGACCATAGTAGGTACAGTTTTGTGTCTGAAGAAATAGAGATGGATGATAATGATTTTGGTGATTTTGGATCTGATCCTTATGAGTTTGCCAATGTGATTGGGGATGGAGATCAACCATTGTACCCTGGTTGTAGAAAGTACACGAAGTTATCGGCATTAGTGAAGTTGTATAATTTGAAGGCAAAATATGGGATGAGTGATGTCTGTTTTACAGAATTATTGATACTTCAAGGCGATTTGCTTCCAGACGGAAATACAATACCGGCCTCTATGTATGAGGCAAAAAAGACTTTGTGTGCATTGGGGCTGAGTTATGAGAAAATGCACGCATGCCCCAATGATTGCATCTTGTATAGGAAGGAGTATGAGGATTTAACTCATTGTCCTAATTGTGGTATCTCAAGGTGGAAGGAAGGCAAAGATTCAATCTTGAAAGAGGGTGTGCCAGCGAAGGTGGTGTGGTATTTTCCTCCAATTCCAAGGTTTAAAAGGATGTTTCGATCACATGAGACCGCTAAGAGTTTGACTTGGCATGCTGCTAGAAAATCAATTGACGGTTATATGTCTCATCCAGCGGATTCCCCGTCTTGGAAACTTCTTGATGATAAATGGCCCGAGTTTGGTAATGAGCCGAGAAACTTGAGATTGGCTCTTTCATCTGATGGATTCAATCCCCACAGTTCTCTAAGTAGCAGATATAGTTGCTGGCCAGTTATCTTAGTTACATATAATCTCCCTCCATGGCTGTGCATGAAACGAAAGTTCATGATGTTGACCTTATTGATTTCCGGTCCTAAACAGCCCGGAAATGATATAGACGTCTACTTGGAGCCTTTGATTGATGATTTAAAATCTTTGTGGGATGGGATTGGAGGAGTGTATGATGCACATAATGGAGAATACTTTACACTCAGAGCTGCATTAATGTGGACAATTAATGATTTCCCCGCCTATGGAAACTTATCTGGTTGTGTTGTTAAAGGATATAAAGCTTGTCCAATATGCGGCGATGATACACCTAGTCACAGGTTGAAAAATGGCCACAAAATTTGTTACATTGGGCATAGAAAATGGTTACCGATCAATCATCCATATAGGAGGCAACGTGCAGCTTTTAATGGGAAACCTGAATATGGCACGCCTCCTGAGCCATTAACCGGAGAAGAAGTGCTGCATATGGTTGAAGATGGTGACAGAGTTTGTTGGAAGAAGAAATCAATATTCTTTGATCTCGAGTATTGGAAATACCTTCCTGTGAGGCATGTCCTAGATGTTATGCACATTGAGAAGAACGTTTGCGATAGTATCATTGGTACATTGCTGGAGATCCCTGGAAAAAATAAAGATGGGATTGCTGCTCGATTAGATTTATTGAACATGGGGGTCAAAACTGATTTGCAACCCGAGTATGGAGAAAGACGTACTCGTTTGCCTCCCGGGCCTTGGAATTTGTCAAGAGCAGAGAAGAGAGAGGTTTGCAATTCTTTCTATGGTATGAAGGTCCCTGAAGGTTATTCTTCAAATATAAAAAATCTTGTATCTTTACAAGATTCAAGACTTCTTGGCCTTAAATCACATGATTGTCATACCTTAATGCAACAATTGCTCCCTGTGGCAATTCGTTCTGTTTTGGAGAAGCCTGCAAGGTATGCAATAACTCGTTTGTGCTCTTCTTCAATGCTATATGTGCAAAGACTGTTGATTGTTTCCAAGCTAGATAAAGTTGGAAGAAGATGTAGTGTTTACTTTGTGTTTGCTTGAGAAGTACTTTCCCCCTTCATTCTTTGATATCATGGTTCATCTAGTAGTAATCTTGTCAGAGAAGTTCGTCTGTGTGGGCCAGTATATTTTAGATGGATGTACGTTTGAAAGATATAATGAAAGTGCTAAAGGGGTATGTTCAAATCGTACTCGCCCGAAGGTTGCATTGCTGAGCGGTATATAGCTGAAGAAGCTGTAGATTTTGTACCGAGCATTTATCTGATGTTAGTAAGTTAGTGCCTTCAAGCCAAAAGATGGGAGTTTCAAAGCCATTATCAGGTTGCACAGTGAGCGTAGTTGAATCGGGACCTGTTGAACCAAGCACATCTATATGTCTTGGAGAATCGGAGGAAGTCCTACCTTATATCGAGTACTATGATTTTATTCTTTAAGTTTCCATTTTAAATTATTTCTTATGTTTATCTTATATGTTTGGGACCGTAATACTTGAATTTTGTGTGTCATGTAGGCAACATATGATCCACATCCAGACCGCTTTATCCAAAATTTAGAAAGAGAACAAAGTGGCTGCAGGATAAGCACAATAGCACTTTCATTCATGGCTACGCTTCAAGGTATATGTTATTGAATAACATATTGGCTTTTAATTTTCTTCTTTCTATGTTAGATTGAATTAAGTTATGATTAATTTGCAGGTTCAAAGTGAACTTAATGAGGAAGACAATCATGGCGTATCAGAAAATTTAAGGTGGCTAGCAGCTGGTCCAAACATGGCAGTGCCATTATATAGGAGCTATCTCATTAAAGGTATTAAATTCAACATCAAGGCACAAGATGATGTGCGGACAACTCAAAATAGTGGAGTTTATTTACTTGCACATACTATGCAAGTTGCTAGTGCCAAGGATAAAAACCCAATTCTCTCAAATATGGGTTTCTATGGTGTCATTCAAGAAATTTGGGACCTTGACTACCAAAAGTTTACAATCCCAGTCTTTAGGTGTGATTGGATTGATAATACTTCTGGTCTTGTAGTGGACGAACTTGGATTTACCCTTGTAGATTTGAGTAAAATTGGACATAGGAATGACCAATTTGTTTTGGCTTCTCAAGTCAAACAAGTATTTTTTGTTGACGACCCGATGCATCGTGGTTGGTCGGTAGTGTTATCAATGCCTAATAGAGAATATAATGATGTTATTGGTGATGATGTCTTAGGTGATGTGAGAATTGAGTGTGAGCCATTTACTAGGGGGATGCCAAATGTTGACACATTTGATGAAGTGGTGGTTGAGTTAGGGAGTCAAAATATTCGAGATGGGTGTGAAGATATATGGGTTGAATGATGCTTTATGTAATTGGCAGTGTATGACATTAATTTTGTAATATATTGTAATGTGATTTCTTCACTTTCATTATACAGGTTTTGGCCACAAAACAATCAGTACAAAAATTACTGGTTCCAGATTACAAAACACGACGGTTTTGATAAAAATGTGAAAAACAAACGTCTGTTCTAATAAATAACGACGTTTTGGAGCATTCAACGACCGCAATATATTTACCGACGTCTTAAAGCAAAGTAACAATGAAGAACCACGACGCTATTGTGAAACAGTTATCCAGGATAACACGTCGGACAAGCATAAAGAACCGCCATGTAATTCAAAATAACACGACTCCAATCCCATAACACCGACGTCTAAAAGACGAGAACTTTAACCTGAACGTTACAAAAGACGACGTCGTCATGAATTTACCACGTCGCATGTTCTTTCATAAACGAAGTGGAAAAGGATGAATTCACGACGGTATTTGAAGTCCATTAAATTTGTCGACGTTAAGATTTATGAACTAGACGACGTTAATTTTTTTAATGAAGACGTATAAATTATTAAACACGACGGTCTTTTTCATGGTACCGACGTTGTATATAGACGACAACGTCGTCCTTATAAATTACTGTGTCGTAATTAATGACCCCATCATTTTTTCCACGTCGTTTATTTTCAAAATATGACGTATAAATTCTGTAATACGGCTCTCATTTATTTGGAACCGACGTTGTTTATTCATTTCAACGTCGTCTCTGTAAATACATACGTCGTAATTAATGAACCCTGACATCTATTTCCACGTCATAATTCATAGAAAAATCGAAGTGGAAAATTATTTTACGACGGTATTTGAAGTCCATTAAACTTGTCGACGTTAAGATATATGCATTAACGACGTCAATTTTTTAAATGAAGACGTACAAATTATTAAACACGACGGTCTTTTTCATGGTACCGACGTTGTATATAGAGGACAACGTCGTCCTTATAAATTACTGTGTCGTAATTAATGACCCCATCATTTTTTCCACGTCGTTTATTTTCAAAATATGACGTATAAATTGTAATACGGCTCTCATTTATTTGAAACCGACGTTATTTATCCAATTCAACGTCGTCTCTGTAAATACATGCGTCGTAAGTAATGACCCTGACATCTATTTCCACGTCATAATTCATAGAAAAATCGAAGTGGAAAATTTATTTTACGACGGTTGTGGGAAATGTTGTGACGTAGTAGGTGTCAATAACGTCGTTTATTATTATTGTAAAGACGTGTATTTATATTTGTCGTTAAATATTTATTTAACGGCGTAAAGTTAAGTTCTCGTCGTTGTATGTTTATCTTGCGGCCATGTTGTTAATATATGTCATCTGTTTCCTTTTTAACGACGTTTTTTTTTGTTGGAGTTGGTCGTCTATTCTTATCCTCGACTGTTTTTTATGTCTTTTTGCAGAACAAAGACGTCGGTTTTTATTTTTGATGACGTTTTTGTTTTAACAACGACGGTTATTCACCGTCGTGGTTTGGTTATGGAAAAGATGTCGGTGGATTCCACGACCATTTGAAAACAGAATACACGACGGTGAATTCCCGTCGTGTTTTTCCTTTTTGTAGTAGTGCGCGGTCACCGGTTTCAAACTCAACGCCAGTTTCGACGTTGTTCAAGAATTGATGAATGTTCCGACCAAAAAGACCAAACTACAAAGATGAAAATATAAAATCCAATATTGCTTTTTTCGCCTGAATGAGAAAGCCAGAAAAATGAGGGCACTCTTCAGTGTTCTTCTTCAAAGCAAATAAGGAATTACAGGGGCGTTGTCTCTTCAGTGTTAGTGTTCTTCATCAATCAAAGTTATATAAAAAAAAGGCCTCCTAATTGAATAAAGTGAACAACTGGTTTGGAGGGGACATATGTTTTGGAGGTGACGTTTTGGAGGGAGGAGAGAGAAGAAGGCCTCGTTCTAATACAATAGTTTCACTTACAATTGCTTTTCACGCAGCCGTTAGATAAGATCTAATAGTGTTCTCATGTAAAGTTCTCATGTAGGTGATCTCACTAGATAACTGCCCATAAGAGATGAGTGCAAAATACCTTTTTTGGAGTGCTATTAATTGTTTTTTGTTGTGAACTTTAGACAACTTGAAAATGGAGATTATAAAGATTAGTCTAAACACAAATTATACTTGCAAGTGCACAAGGTCAATCGTAATATAGTATGGCAAATACACGAGGATTGAATTCAACTTTCAATTAGTCTAACCTAATTTACTTCACAAAATACTTTAACTACTCTAATTATATAAACAAGAAATTAAACACGTAGCATACTCATGTAAACACGAAAGGGGTTTTTGAAAGGATGATTTAATTACCAACGAAATTAAAAGACAAAACAAGTAGAAAGTCACGAAACACAAAGATGAGAAATTCAAATTGATAAAAGCACTAGAACAATGAATTCACCACTAGTAATCCGATCTAGCCTCTTATTATCTACCTCTTAACTAACCATTTGATGTCGCCGCTTAGTTTTCATTTTCATGAATTACCTATGGTATTTAGACTAACTCGTATATTCCTACATGCAATTCGCCTATGATATTTAGGCCAAATATCAACACATAGAAACTCATTAAGATTAGTGAAAACCCCAACAAGCATGTAAACTCTAGGATTACCCTAGACGAATTACAAATCCTAATCACAAGAAGCAAGCCTCAAATTAAGTATGGTATTTTCTATAATTTGCATCAGATTAACTCAATTAAAAGTCTAGATGGTGATCAAGCATCAAAATAATCAACCAAGTTATTAAACACCAGTGATTAAGAATCCAAAATCAAACGGCAATTAATAGATAGGTAAAATTAGAAAACTAAATTATCATACTGGCTACATCATGCCCTAGAAAAAGAAATTAGTTACACATAATCATAGAATTCAGCATAAGTAAAAACATAAGGAAGAAACAATAAAACTTAAATTAGCCAATTGCGGTACTCTTCCGGCGTCTCCAATTTCTCCTAGTTTTTGAATGTCTCCCTAACAAGGGAGTTGTTTCTCATGCTTAAATAAAACACCACATGTCTATTCCTACCCTAGCTGGGCTTTTACAGCAGCCCAAAATAATGAAAAACTTAATTAAAACATAATTCAAAATGGGTAAGTAATTGACTCCTCTTCCTACTTGGATTGGGATAACACGTCAATTACTTTGCATGCACGTTTGGGGTTGTTCCTCTCCAAGAAAATTCGGAAAACATATGTAAATTGTAGGTCCTTGTCTTATCTTTCCAGCCATATATTGCACGCCTTGAGAAAAAATCAGGAAAGTCTTCAAATAGTCATTCTTCCCCACAACACAGTTTTGACGGGATTGCACCTTATGCTGACTTAACTTCAAAGACTACTCTCATTGGCTGCTCCGAAAATTCTAGAAAATTTTCACAATCATATTCAAGATCTTAGCTTTCATATCCAACTGGTCTCGTACAAAAACTGCATCAAAAAGTCATATTTCCGTTGAAAACAAATTACTTGCTTTGGAAAGCTAAAAATTGAGACAATAAAGTAATAAGTCCTTTTTAAATCAAATTCTCCTACAAAAACTAAGTATAAAGAGTACATAAATGTGTAAATTTATGGAATTATCAATTTTAACGCATCAAAACTATATTTTTTTAATGATAATTGTATGTTATTTTTTTTGTTATTAGCATTTGGAAAAGGGTTCTTTTTAGACGTTAATTGTTTGGTTTTTTTTTGTTGGTAGGTTGGTTTTCTCGTCTTATAAGTCCAATAAATGGGGGCTATTTGATTGACTTAAATTCATGTGAACTAACAAACGCAGGAGGACAGTTGAAATGCTTGAGAATTAGAAGTTCAAAAGAAGGATCACCATTTTGTGGTTAGATTTGGTATAACATTCTAAAAGTTACCCATTTTGAAACAAGGAAAATGTTTTAGATTTAATTTGTACGCAAGTGTATACGTGCATTGTGAACTAATCTATGGAGGAAGTTTCTTAAGAAAAATTCTTCTCCTAAATATTGTTTACTTTGCAAAATGAAGGTGGAAGAATCCAACACACATTCCCATTCAAAAGTTCTAGACACATATAGGATTGCATCATTTTTTTCATGTTTGAAAATGGTCATAAGATATAATAATTCATTGTTTTGAAAGTTATATCATGTAAGAGTTTTTTGATTAAAAAACGATAGAATTTTATTAAATAAACTAAAAATTACAAAGGACATAGACTGTAAGGAAAGTCATCACAATAACAATAGGGGAATGCTAGCAATCTTCTCTCTAACCTTCTCCTTTTGACCTTATCCATTTGTTGCTTGACATGTGTCATTCTCCTTACACTTAAAACAATGTCACTAATATGTTATACAAGTTAACTTTTCTTTCCAAGTTTACCCTTATTAAATGTATTCAATTTATCCATAACTTTCTTACCATCTTATTAAATTTTTTCAAACGTCAATTATTTTTTTAAAAAGAAATGTCTGCTTTTTTCAAAAAAAGATGAAATGTTTGTTTTTTTTTTTTTTTTTTTTATAAATTTTTCTTTTTCTTTTTCTATCTAAACCTTCTTTTTGTGTAAAAAAGAAAAAAAAAAAAAAAAAAGGGGACATTTCCTCTTAAAATCAGATGTTTTCTTTAAAAAAAATAATTGACGTTAGAAAAAAAATTAATAAGATGGTAGATAGTTGTGAATTTTTTTGGGATAAATTGAATACATTTAATAAGGGTAAACTTGGAAAGCAAAAGTTAGATTGAATAATATATTAATGACATTGTTTTAAGTGTAAAAAGAATGACACATGTCAAGCAAAAAAAGAAGAAGATCCAAAGGAGAAGGTTAGAGAAAAGGTTGCTAGCATAATTTGTCTTTTTCAAATAGACACTTTCTAGAATTTTGCTCCCTCAAGACAATTTAGCCTATATGAAACGTTAGGGTATCTAAATTTCATGTACAACAAGAGTTCGATTTTTATTTATTAATTTTTTTTTAAAAGTTCAAGGGAAAAAACAGATGGGGGGATTATAAAGGATTAACGTTTTCACAAAACCGATTCCTAAAGCATCTGTTACTCAACAATCGTACGACAAAAACGTCCAATTTGAAATATACACAAAAACGTTTCCTTCGATATACGCGTTTTTGTCCTATGTTAAAATTTACTTTGACCATTCTACCTAAGAAATTACAACCAAAAAATAAAAAAGCAACAAAATACTCATCGGAACATACAGGTTTAAGTACAAAATATATATTTATTTATTCTGCATTGACAAGATTTTGGAACTTGGTCAGCGTTGGCCAACTTATTTCTGTAAAATTTCTAGACCTTGTGGTGTGGGGCAACATTAAAATAACAGGCCCCAAGTAGAAATCCTCCACGTGTAAAATCAGTACATCCTGTTCTATAAATACCCATTCCTTTTCTCTAAATACCTCCACAACTGCCCAACACCTTCTCTCTCACTCAAAGATATACAGAAATATCACTCTCAAAGGCTCAGTCCCACCTCTTTTTCTCTCTCTCTCTCTCTCCTCTCAATGGCACCAACAGTTACTTCAATGGAGGCATCTAATGGCCATGAAGTCTCATTCAAATATTACCGTCTATAAAAAAACAAAAAACAAAAATCTATATCTGGCATCTAGATCTGATGAGGAGACTCAAGTGTCATGGAAGGTTCTATTTAATTAAACTATTTATTTCCAATGTTAAAAGAACAAGCAGATGTTATTTTTGGTCCGTTATTCCGATCATGATTTTCCTACACGCTGTTGGAACCTCCGACTCTATAGTCCGTAACCACAGGATCTAATCCTCTAATTTATATACCTCACTCTATTTTGACTCGATAAATATAAATTGTGCATTTCGTAAAGTGTGTGTGATTTTCTCTCGATCAATTCATCTTGACGTTGTATTTGGTCACAGGTGAAAATTTATCAATATTCGATCAGCAACTTAATTGCGTGATCTTGACTAGGAGTTCATACATTCTCTTAGTGAAGATCATATGAAGTCTGCTCCAAAGAAAGGACTTTTGTTCAGAGAAGAGTTATGCACCAAAACGGATAATAGTGTGTAAACTAAAAGGATTCCAAGGAGCGATTAGAGAAATTTATAATGAACCCCATTTCTAGAAATATCTTATATTGGAAAGCCCTGGCGATTATCAAGCATAAATAATCATTAATTGTTGGAGCATAGTCCAACTGAAAGAAAAAATAAAAAGACAGGACAAAAAAAAAAAAGAAAAAAAAAAAGAAAAAAGATGCTGCAGCTCTTTCATTATAGTTGAAGTGTCGTTGAAGCAAAATGCTTAGGCTCGTATGTGATCAAAGGTATACTTCATGTAGATCTTGCCACTTCGTTGAAGTTTTATATATTCCTTATAGTTCATTGCAAGGTATTTAGGAGCTTCACCTTCTTTTTCCATTAACTCTGGAGCTGGGGCAATAATTGTATCCACAGATGGTCCATGTGGTATGGCGATAGAGATTCGTGTAGCTTTGTTGTTCAAGGTGGCCCGATGCATCACACTCTTGTATTTGCCGTTAGTAAGAATCTGTTGAAAACCATGAATTGAATCAAACTTGAATCGTCAAACATGCGATTGATGCATATGACCCAAGTTTCCAAATGCAGAAAGCAATCTTACAGAGAAAAAGAATAGGCAACCAAGATAAGACTCTACCCATTTCCCTCTTTCCTTGGAGCATGAAAATGCTGATGTGGCAAGGCAAATGAGGTTAGCCTACTCTTTTGCTTCTTCTTGAAGTTGTTTAATGTGCGATAAATAAAAATAAAATTACCTGCATCTGGTCAGCAAGGTTAACAAAGAAACAGTTGGTAGGGCCATCGACAGTGAGCCATTTCCCGTTGTGCTCAACTTGGAGGCCATTCATCTCATTCTGGATGAGGAGAGTGATTAGGCCATGATCAGTGTGATGTGGTATACCAATTGCATGTTCTGGCTGAGGGCATGGTGGGGTAGTAGTTGGCGGCCAGCATTTGCAAGCCACGATCCATGTTCATTGCGTCGTATATGTAGTTTGGCTCCAATCCCAGGCTTTCTGAGATTGCTCTTGTTATCTCCAATGCAACCTCTCGGCTTCTCTTGCTGAACTCCCTTGATATCTCACTGAAGCAACTCGGTTTGTAGAGGGAGTAGAACTCTGGATGTACTCTCACCTTGAAGAAGTCCCTCCACAGGAGGACTTTATCCGTGGCCGGATTAAAGCTGGTACCATACTCGAACATCTCTAGCACATCGTTACCCGATTTAAACTCCTGCTTCTCCTTGTCAGGAAGAGTGAAAAATCCATGACAAGCGTCAATCATCGCCTTCATGAGGCTCTCTGGCACTCCATGGTTAATGGCCTGGAATTAAAATTGCATCGCAATGGTTAATAAATTGTCAATCAATTATTAAGTTTGTAATATAACTGCTGTAGATATAATATATGTAGATCAAAATTACTATGAAGAAGCCCCATTCTTGACAAATTTTTCTGAGGTCGTGAATGATTTTTGACCGTTGATCAGGAGACCCCTGAGGTGAGAAGAGACATATCAACAATGGGAATTGTGAATTCAGGATCGTTTGGATCTGCTTCTTCGTTGGGGTTTATGTTGAAGGCATATGTGGAAGGAACTGAGTTGAGGGCAGGGGATTCAGCAAGTGATTTGATGCTTGTTACTTTTCAATGTGTCCATGGTTTGTGCAACAGCAAGTGGAGCCTTCGCTTAAAACTTAACTCAGAAGATGATCTATTACAAGATGTAAATTGGGAAGGACGCGAAAGTGTGTTGAGTGGTTGTAAATTAAAGAAGTGGTTCCTATTTATAGCTACTTCGAGGAGGCAGGTATCTCAACTTTAACACGATGTCAAATATCTTTTAAAAGTGTCGGCCATAATTAAAGGCCTTCTAGAACATCCACGATGAATACACGCAGCGAGAAAACGTGGATTTGATTTTTAAGCTCGATTTATATTTAGGTGTAACAAGTTAACGACTATTTTTTTTTTCATATTTTAGATTGTTTAAACATCTATTTTTCACCAAAAGTCCAAGTCAAATACCTTGATCAACCAAGCATTGAAGAAGCAGAGCATCTGGATATGATGCAGATCGATGACAACCCCAACTGGCAAGATTCCATTATTGACTATTTGGTGAATGAAAATTTTCCATGAGAGAAGTCTCGAAGCTAGAAAATCAAGCAAAAGCTTAAGGGGTCGCAGATCATATTTTGGTCCTCAACTCGCATGCATAAAGTACCCACGAGCTCTAGAAGTGCTCTACAAAATCCACAATGGAGAATGTGGAAATAGCATTGGGGAAGGTCACTTGCCCAGAAGGCTCTCAGCATAAGCTACTTCTGACCTAACATCATCTGCTGGTTTGGCTGTCCACAGTCCCTAGTTATTGAAAGGAAAAATCTTGGCTCCTTAAAATCTCCTCCTCACAACAAATAGAGTTTTGGCACTTGTCAAATTCCTTGAACTTTATTTCTTTTAAATTCCTATAACTTTTTGTTTTTAGTTTGATCCAATCGTATATCTTTGGATGCTATGCCACTTTGTAAGCGGTTACGTCATTTACTTATTTGGAATGAGGATTACTCGTGAATTGGGAAAATCGAAAATATGTATGGGATTATGGGAATAGGTATGAGATCAACTACCCTCAATTAATATAATTTCAGTTTTTTCATAAATTGTGGATTACATATTGTAAATTGAGGCCCACATATTTTTTGATTTCGTAAGTGTTAGTAAACGGAAAAGAAGTCAGAATTTGAAATATTTGTAATACATATTTTAGATAAAGTAAATATGTCATTATTCTTTCACGAATCACGTTTATAATAGAGATTCCGTATTCCATACGCATTCCATCGGTTGATTCACAAATCAAAGTTCTTCTATGCAAAAGTAAACTCGTCTGTCAAATCCAAACTCTATTCCAATATGAAACAATAATGTTGTGAAAAACAATGGTTTGACAACAAACTAAGAAGGCGAAAAGAAATATTTGGAAAGAGCCAGTCATAATAGATACAGTACTTTAACCATACTATTTAGTTTAGTTCTGACGAATAATTATCTATTTGATGATTAGTCAAAAAATTAATAATATCAGTGGTTCTAGCTTTCGTGGTAGAACAAGTACTCTCGCGATGTGTCGTTATATTTATTCTTGTTGATGTTGCTCGTAATAATAATAAGAAGAAAATAAAAAATCAAAATCAAAATTGTTCAACATTAATTTCATATTGGAGAAATATTCGATTAATTTTTCGTTGGTCATACATAAAATTAAGAAACTGGGAATTGATTTGGGGTAGTGAGGTTAAAGTATGGACGAGATTGGCTTATGACGGAACTTGTGTTTTGTAAAAAGAGTTGTATTTTATTTTCCAATACCTTCCAGGAATAATCTATACAGTCTTGTAGAGTCCTTTTTTTTATGAGAAATTAAAGAATACTATTGGATTACGGCCACATATGTTGATATCTTCTTCTAAATGACCCCAAAATGATAAATTTAAAAAGAAGAAACAGAAGCCTTTTGTCCCAATGGTAGTAAGATATCTGTCCCATTGATATCTTCTTCATGATAGTAGAAGATATTTGGCTTCTAATAGAGTTCTAAATGCAAATTATAGAAAATTACAAGAAACTGATGTGAAACTATAATGGTGAAGTAAGCTTAGGGGTTTTACTTTCATATCCTTGGTTCTTCAAGAGAGAGTCACAAAAGCGAGTCTGTGTTAAGTTTTCAAATAGACAGACCAACAGCCCACTACTAGCAACACCGATATTCTCCCAAACTTAACCGATACCATTTAAAGATTCCAAGATTTGAGTGGTAGTTGTAGTGGATCCCATTCAATATATATTATCTTTATTTCTTATGTATGACTACCACATAATGAGCCACACATGCAGCCAAATTCACGGTGGAGTCAATTATTCAAGCCTAACTCGTTAACACCACGTATTGAGTAAGGGATACGGGTAAATATTCAAGTACGTCATGTGAACACCACATATTGGGTTAAGGATTAAGATCTCTTGTGATAGGACCCTACGCTTTTAGTTCGCACGAGACATCAAAAAGAAAGAAGAAAAATAAAGACTAATGGCGACTTTCGTGTACCCAAAATAAATTGTGGTTTACCTAACCCTGAAAATGTGTATTTTGGAAGTACCACAAAACTGACCGCAACAAAATTAGTCAAAAAATGGTTCTGCATTTCTTATATTATTTCAACGCTATTCCCCCATTAAAGGCCAGTCCTGTACCCAGCTGATCTATCGTGCACATAAAATGCATTGCAGAAGCAACAAGGAATTCATTTTCTAAACGGAACCTAGTATGGCAAAATGAAAGTCACTTTTGCAATTAGTGTGATTACGTCAACTTCCTAGTCACAATCCGAATAATATGATACGAGACCATTGAAAACTTGTCGAATCTCAAAGTAAGTGAGCTCTCTTCAGAAGTAGGGTTATATATTATCATGATAAGGCATATATTTAGGTCTTTAAAATTATTATGGCAAAGTTTGAACGGGGTCACTAATTTTGCATCCTGTTTGTTTATAAGTTTTATATATGATAGCCCCTTGACACATGTTCACGCATATGCCAATTGGTTTTCTTTTTTCTTTTTTCTTTTCTTTTTAGAATTAAAAAAAGATAATATGAGTAGTTATGTTCTATAAAAGTATGACTTATTATCCGATTTTGTTTTTAGAATTCTGGAAGGTCTGACAGCCAACAATTTATATATAAAATTAGAACAAATTGAATCTTTCTTGGGATGCACCGTGCACGTGTGGGCCCTACTGCTTACATTAAACAAAGTTAATGTAATAACATGCACGTGTGGGATGCACGTCAAGTTTCTGCTTCTGACGAAAGGGCTGGCGTCAAGTTGCTGAAATGAAGAAAATAACGTGTAAAGTTACATTTCATTTCCCTTCTGATGCTTCTGAGACACCTTCTATCTATGTTTAAGACTGCAATGACTCAAGGCCACCTGCTCTAAGACATGTATAATTGGAACATTCTCATGCATATTGTTGTTAAGAAAACCAGATACTTCTTCAAAAACCATGAACCATATACCATGAACAATTCAAATCCAAGAAGTAGAAAAAAGGGCTTGTCCAATAGGTCCCTGCATTTTTTATTTCCTAGACATATACCCATTCTATAAATCTATATGTAAAACCAATTTCAAATTTAAATGACCAGTAGGATATAAGAGGTCATAGTATTCCTACGTTTTTACATCATTGCCGCTAAACTTCATATTTTATTTATAATTTATTTCAAGCATTTTATTAACTACCATAACTGTAATTAATACTCTCTATTAATAGCATATTAATCACCCCATTTCTTTTGGTTACTATTCTCTCTAACATTAACATATTGCCCTAAAAATTGCAAACTAAAAATATATATATGTAAATATATATGTAAATTACATATCCAATAATGTACCTATGAAAAATATAAATATAAATATATACGTATAAAAATATAGGTATATTATTTACCAAAAAATTTACAGAAAATAGGTACATGATTATTTATAGAAAATATAGATACACAATAATTTATTGAAAATAATAGGTAGATTATTACAGAAAAATAGGTACATAATAATTTATAGAAAACATAGATACACAATAATTTGTAATAAAAAAATAATAGGTAGATTATTATCCATGAAAAAACTAAATTATAGAAAAATAGGTGCACAATAATTTATAATAAAATAATAATAGGTAGATTATTACAGAAAAATAGGTACACAATAATTTATAATAAAAAAATAGGTAGATTATTATCCATGAAAAAACTAGGTACAATAAATGAAATCCAAGTTCTAAAATAGGTAATTATTATTCGGGAAAGATGGAACAAAATTTCAAAAAGGCAATAAGGAAAACAGACTTTTTTGGCCAACAAATTGTTGACTACATTAATGAATTTTAATAATAAAACGGATAATTAATTGCAGACAAAATTTTTAGAGGGAATCACCACAATAAATTGGGGAACCAAAAATTAAAACATCACCCCATTACACATTGAAAAGTAAATAGGATCAGATATTGAGCTTAATAAGGTAACTTGATGAGTTGGATCCTAGTCACGGGTTTTTACTTATAAAAATTGGGTATTATTTATAGGAACAAAAAGTGAAGGGTTGCAGGTAAAGTAAGTTGAATTTGAAGAGTGTAAGCCAAATTTACTAAAGAAAAAATAATTCAAATATTTTAGGAAATTTAATAATATTTAGTAGACCAAATAAACTATATTGTGGAACTTCTTCTCGTAACCTGGTGATAAATGAGTCAAATTTGCATGCTCTAATGGATTGAAATGTGTCAATTTCAATGAGCCTAATGGATTTGAATGTGCAGGGTCTGAGAAACCCTTCCACATTCTATGCTTTAAGACACTTTCTTAGAGTTCAAGATCCCAGTTTAGTGCAAAGACTCCAAATAATTTTTTGATGAGGAATGCAGCTCAGGTTAACTTTGTGTTCGGAGTTCTGCGATGAGGTGTCGCCTATGTGACACTTGGAATTGACGGTATAATGTGGGAAATAAATAGAAAAATCATGGAATTAACGAATTTATGAAGGGTACACCTAGGTGGAAAGAAATTATTATTTTTGAATGCTTGCAAATGGTTTTGATGAATTGATTGAATGCATGAATGGTTATATGAATATAATATGCATGCTTGATTTTCGTACGAATATAGAACATGGATTAAATGAGTTTTCAAATGGTTTTTAATAGTATGTTGATATTATATTTTGCAAAACTTTCTTTTGTCCACAAACGCTTTAATGTTTTGCGCCCCTAGGCAATAATCGAGTACTGGAGCACCACCACTGGGCATTCATCACCCACCACTCATCCACTTACATTATCTAGGATATTCTACTGTACTCGTACTATTTTTGTAAATTAAATTAATTAGTAGGATTTGATATTGCCCTAGGATCTCTGTAAGGCCTGATGCCACACAGATTTGATGTTGAATTGTGTGTGTTCTAATATTGTTCATGTTGAACGCTTGTAGATATATGAATTGCATTTTGTACAGGTGTAAATTTTGGGAAACAAGCAATTTACAGGAGAGACTCAGCCGATTTTTGGGCAGAAGTCAAACCTTAAAAGAATTTTTTGGTTTTAGTTTAAAGGAAATTTGGTCAAGTGTGTTTGGCACCTAACAGGTGTTGGATATGTATAGGGTTTGACGCAGATTCCAAAGTGGAATTTGGGTCGGGTCCTGTCAATGATTTACTTGATGAATGAAAAGATAATTGGTATTTTAGGAATAATAGTTGGTGGAAAGATAAAAGCGTGCTTTTTCAAATTTATATAGTGGGTGAGACGGAAAATTAGGGCATAAGTCAAAATAGAAGCACTCTAATAATATTATTCAAAACACGTGAATTGCCATTTTCTTCTCTGTTCCTTATCTCCAACCCCCTTTTTTTTTTTTTTTTTCTTTTTTTTGTCTAATATCTCCAACCTCTTTGAATCCACTTACCAACCGCATATTTTGTTTTCACATTTTTCTCTTTTCTACACAAAAAGGACACCGTAGGACAACTCGAGGTGACTGCTTTTAAGAAAAAGGCACCCCCACCACATCCAAAGGACAAAATAGTAGATTGTATCTTTTAATGGTTTGTTTTTTGTTATTAATTCAAGTTCTCAAGTTTTTAAATAATATATATATATATTTTTATTAATTTTAACTGAACACACATGTTTAAATATTTTTTTCTTGCTAAGTGATTGAAAATGAAAACTTTGCTTGACTAAATTGGCTAGAATAAGAAGTAAACAGGAGGGCACATAGAAAATGGTAATACGAAAATTGAACCCTCCCTTCTAAATATTGACCAAAACAAAAAAACAAAAAAAACTAAACTCAAAACACATTTTAACAATTTTTCTTTCCCATGGAAGGGTTTTATTTATTATTTATTTGGTTGTCATGTATATATTCAGTGTCATTTGTAGTAAATATCTTTTAGTGGTGCTTCTCTTCGGTATTGTCGGGTTTTTTTTAATATATTTTTTCAAGCGAGGGTTTTTATCTTAAAAATCTCATTACCACACCCATATGAACACCCCGATATGAACAACCCCTTTTTGGTGTGTGATAATGGTATTCAATCCATAATTCCAAACACAATTTCCCCCTTTTGTTTATATAAGAGATGAGTGCAAAATACCTTTTTAGAGTGCTAATAATTGTTTTTAACGCATTTTTTTTTTTTTTTTTTTTTTTTTTTTTTTTTTTTTTGTATTTGGAAAAGGGTTCTTTTTAGCCGTTATTATTTTTTTTTTTGGTTAATGATAATTGTAGGCTGGTTTTCTCGTCTTATAGTCCAATAAATGGGGCTGGTTGATTGATAAATTCCTGTTCCTGTCAACCCACAAACGCAAGAGGACAGTAGAAATCGCTTGAGAATTAGAAGTTCAAAAGAAGTATCACCATTTTGTGGTTAGAATTGGTTTCACATTATGTCATGGTTTCGGATAACGTTCTAGAAGTCACACGCAAGTGTATACGCTCATTAATTGTGCACTAATCTGTGGAGGAACTTTCATGTACTCTTTTCTTTCATAAGAAAAATTCTTCTTCCTAAATGTTGTTTACTTTGCGAAATGAAATACACATTCCCATTCAAAAGTTTCTAGACACATATAGGATTGCATCATTTTTGTTCATGTTTGAAAATGGTCATCAGATATATAACAATGTAATAATTTATTGTTTTGAAACTTATATCATGTAATATTTTTTTAAATAAAAAGGCGATAGAATTTTATTAAATAAGAATAAAGAGTACAAAGGAAACATATTTTAAAGGGCGTCATCCCAATAACAATATGATAACTTGTCGATTTCAGATAGGCACTTTCTAAAATTTTGCTCCCTCAAGACAATTTAGTGTATAAGAAACGTTAGGGCATCTAAATTTCAAGGACCGAACATTCTTTCCCACATGTACAACAAGAGTTCGATTTTTACTTATTAATTTTTTTGAAAAAGTTCAAGGATAAAAACAGATAGGGGGATTATGAGGATTAACGTTTTCACAAAACCGATTCCTAAAGCATCTGTTACCTACCCATGGGGACCCAATCACACAAATTCCTAAAAAAGTTAATACGCACAGATCATATATTCCATTGTGTGTGTGTGTATTTTTTTTAATAGATTTTTTTGGCGTTTCTGATCCTTAATTATATTTTTCTCTTGGCTGGCTTGTTTTGATTAATTGGGTGTTTGAAAATATCATCAGGACGACCTTTATTGACCTCGAGGAAAATGGGGCCTTTGTAGGTGAGTAGTAATTGGGCACTTGTACTGGCTGGTGCAATAGTCAAAATCCAAAGTGAAAGCCATTATGAACATTTTGTAATTTTCCGATCAAGTACAAGCATGCCTTTCGTAAATAAAAATATTTTATCTATTCGATGCATTTTATTTAATAGCTTTTTAAAGTTTAACTTCTGTAAAACTTGAGGTGCTTCCACTTTCTAGAATTTTTTTTTTACTGTAATGTGCAAGAGGTTTGTAGCTTAAGTAGTTCAGAGCATTTATTTATGTATTCGATGTTTTAACTTCTATAAATAAAAAAAAAAAAAAAAAAAAAAAAAAAAAAAAAAAATAAAGGGAGCTAAGCAAATCACAGTCTAATTCATTGTACTTTTGTGTGTTTCTTTGTGTTTTGTTTATGTGGTTTGTTTGTATTGGTGTTCCTTTGTTTCTGCCCACTGCATGCTGAACAAATCTCGTATTGTACAAAGGACTATGTTTACATAGAAGGTCTTCTTTGACAAAACCTGAGAGGTGTTGCTGTGCTCCTTTGTTGGGTTTTGTTTTCCTTCAGTTTGTTTCTTTGTGTTTTGTTCCCGTGCTTGTTCATCTCAGTGTTCTTTTGGTTTTGCCCATTGCATGTTGAACAAGTCTTGCGTTGTACAAAGGATTATGTTTACATAGGAGGTCTTCTTTGAGGGCGGGGTAGATTTATTTTAGAGGGGTCTATTATGTGATTCTGGTTTTGTCTGGATTCTTTTGTTGGTCTGTTGTATGTGTAGTACTCTTTCCTTGCTTTGGATTTCCTAATAAGGTTTTAATGAGGCCATTGTTGTCATGCAGGTTCTTCTGTGATGTTATTCAGATATTAATGGAATTGATCTTCTTCTCAAAAAAAGAATCATAGTCTAAATTATTTATTTTATACATGTTCCCTCAAATTTTCTCTCATCTCTCCAACATCAATCTCGTCACTCTCATTTTCTTGGTTCAATTATATAAATTCTAGATTCAATTTTTTATATATTAGAATGTGAGCATTCAATATCAAATTAATTAGAAACGTGAAAAGGCAAATATTTTAAGCTCTTGCGCTTAAACTTACATAACTTGAAGTGATACTTTCAACACACGCTCCTCAAATGCGTTGTCTTTTGCCCCTAATATATTGACAATTATTATTAAATGACGTGAGAGTATGTGTGACAGTTGGATGTGCCACATGAACTGCTACATGAAGAATGTGAACCTACCAACCAAAATGAATTAGCAACCAGTGTTGAAACTAAAAAATCTTTTACAAACTTAAAGGTGGATATCCGATTAAATCCAACACCCAACTAGTCAACAATCGTACGACAAAAATGTCCAATTTGAAATATACACAAAAACGTTTCCCTTGATATACGCGTTATTGTCCTATGTTAAAATTTACTTTGACCATTCTACCTAAAAATACCGATACTTTCTCATTACAAAAAACCCAAAAAAAAAAATATATGCAGAAAAACGCGTTGCAGAAGCATCCGCTGCCGGTAAAAGCACTCAACAGTAGATTTATTAATTCATCTGAACATACAGGTTTAACTACAGATTTTGGAACTTGGTCAGCGTTGGCCAACTTATTTCTGTAAAATTTCTAGACCTTGTGGTGTGGGGCAACATTAAAATAACAGGCCCCGAGTAGAAATCCTCCACGTGTAAAATCAGTACATCCTGTTCTATAAATACCCATTCCTTTTCTCTAAATACCTCCACAACTGCCCTACACCTTCTCTCTCACTCAAAGATATACAGAAATATCACTCTCAAAGGCTCAGTCCCACCTCTTTTTCTCTCTTTCTCTCTCTCCTCTCAATGGCACCAACAGTTACTTCAATGGAGGCATCTAATGGCCATGAAGTACCCAAAGTAGCAAGCATCAAAACACTAGCTGACTCAGCTTCCTTCACTTTTGTACCTTCTGAGTACACCTATACCAAAAATCCTAATGAACAAGGCGATGCAAACGACCCGGAGCATTCAATCCCCATCATTGATTTTGCCCTTCTCACGTCGGGATCTCCTGATCAACGAGCAAAAGTGATCCAGGAGCTGCGCAGAGCTTGCGAGGAATGGGGCTTCTTCCAGGTATGTACCTTAATTTGTTTATAGTAACAGGACTTATGTTGTTAGACAAAGACTTATGTTTACCTTATAATATCAACAAAGTATTTGTCAAACTGTATCTACAACTCTCATGATGAAAGCTAATTAAGCATAAATTATATATATGGGAATTATTAGGTGACCAACCACGGTGTACCAGAGAATCTGATGCAATCAATGATCGACGCGTGTCATAGATTCTTTGATCTGCCGGAGGAGGAGAAGAAGGAGTTCCAAACAAGGAACCTGTTGGATCCAATCAAGTGCGGCACCAGCTTCAACGTCGACATTGAAAAAGTTCATCTCTGGAGGGATTTCCTCAAGGTCATAGCCCACCCTGAGTTCAACTCACTCTACAAACCTGCTGGATACAGCGAGGTTTCACTGGAGTTCAGCAAACGAACCCGAGAAGTAGCCACAGAAATATTGAAGGGAATATCAGAGAGCTTAGGGTTGGAGGCTGACTACATAGCAAAGGCCATGAACTGGGACCGTGGCTTACAAATTCTGGCAGCGAATTACTACCCGGCGTGCCCACAGCCTGATAAAGCCATCGGCATTCCTCCTCATACCGATCACGGACTGGTGACCCTCCTCATCCAGAATGAGATGGGTGGCCTTGAAGTCAAGCACAAAGACCAATGGGTGTTGGTGAATGCTGCTCCCCGGAGCTTTTGTTGTTAACATTGGTGACCAAATGCAGGTACCAAAATAACACCCAACTTTTTTTTAATCCAAAACCCATCTTATCTAAGAATTACAATCTAATAATTCTCTACTTATTTTCATAAATTAATGGTACCGATTATTTATGTGTATGGTTAATTTTTCGTGGCAGATTTTGACAAACGACAAGTACAAGAGTATATGGCATAGGGCTGTTGTGAACAACAAAGCTACAAGGATATCAATAGCTGTTCCCCATGGACCCTCACTGGACACACCAGCTTTACCAATCCCAGAGTTGTTAGAGAGAGAAGGCCAAGCCCCAAAATACATTGGAATGACATATGAGAAATTCATGGAGCTTCAAGCAAGCCCTGCTGGCGTCAGGAAACCTTGCTTAGATCACCTGCGGGTCAAACAAAACTGAAGCTACAGCCTACACATATATGCATATTCATTAGAGTCCTCTTATTGCCGTGAATAAGAGCTTTGTTGCTCCTATACATTGTCTTGTTCCGATTCTGTATTCATGATATTTCGCAGTGAGACATTCTCGTCAAGTATCGGATAACCCTAGCACATGTACCTCGAGATTCAAATTTTTACTTGTATCTTCTGTACTTTCATAATATTATATATGCGATTCGAAGACCCTATGCCATTTAGTGTCCCGATTTAATTTATTTTCAATTATAAACTACAATCTTTGGTATAAGAAAATTGACGGGATAGCGAAAGGATTACTTGAGAACGTGAGTACTTAAGAAGCAATGGGTTTAGGGTAAAGGGCACAAATTTACATTTTAAAAAATAAATAAAAATTGCACACAAATTGTCAAGTTTTATATAAAACGTAAAGGAGTTTTTGAAAATTGGGGGTCACAACCACTTCTAGCCTTGAAATGGGAAAAACACTGTTTTGCTATCCCCGGTCAATAACGCTTTGACACAGTGATACGCGTGATAACACTTCCATGTGACATAGCATTACAGACCCGGGATAGCAAAACAATGTCACCCACGTTGTAACTAAGTTTTTCTTGAATTATGTGGCTCCGCCCTTGTGAAAATGGCTTCTTGCTTGAGTTGTAATCTTAGAGTATGTCCAAGGGAAATGTCAAATATAAAACATTAAATTGAAATTTGATGGCTTACGTGGCAATTTGACATATATTGCACAATTTCATTTCGCCCGATATGTCTTTTGTCTTTAGTAAAATAAGCAATCAATAAAGTAATGATAAATGAAGAAAGAGAAAGGCATAAAATAAAATAACGATAAATTGTAGAAGTGGTGACTCTCATTTGTGCTCCTTTGACAAATATAATAATTTCAAATAAAAGTCATGACGGTACAACACCCAAAGTAATGCTTTGTGGGCCATTTGGTTTAAAAAGTTGAAAATTATATGCAAATAATGCTTGAAGCTTGCAGGGGCAATTTTTGTTGACGTGAGTCTTCCTAATTAATCAAGGAGATTTATTTCCTTGAGTTATTAAGGGATTTACTTTCTTATTTTATATAGTTGACAAATCATTGTATAATTAGGAGATATTATCCCCAATTGGTTACTATATCTATTTCTTTGTAAAGCTCTCATGTAAACTCTTATATATACCTCATAATGGAGAAGAATAAAACTTAACCTAAAGAATTCAAACCATATTCATAGTTTAGCACGGTATCAAAGCAATCGATTCTAGGTTGTCTCTAAACCTTAAGTCAAATTCCTCATATTTAAATTCCTCAAATCCAAATCCCTCAAATCCTCTTATCAAATCCCTAAATACATACCCTCAAATCTTATACACATACCTCTCAAATCAAATTCCTACATCAAATTCCTCAAATTAATTCCTCACATTCTCATATACATCTTACTTCTACTGTGATGTTAGGACCCCTTACGATTCTCTCACTTCTTGCAGACTCACAAAAGCATGTGGTCAATCCTACTGACCCGGCTACTCGGACTGGTGCTTCTATCGCCACCACCAAAAGTTCTGTTTTTCATACACCCTCTAAAAAGTCCACATGAATTATTGACTCGGGTGCTACGGATCACATGACATTTGGTCTTGGCCAACTTATTAGTTGCATATCATCCACTTCATCGGTGGTGTCTAATGCTAATGGTACCCCCTCCCTTGTAGTTGGGGAGGGCTCTTTATCTCTCTCTAATTCCCTACATCTAGATTCTGGGTTGCTTGTTCCATCCTTGGACCATAACTTGTTGTATGTTGCACAACTTACTATTACTTCGGGGTGTACTATAACATTTTGGCCGAATCATTGTGTTTTTCATGACATCCTCATGGGAAAGACGATTGGTTGTGGTACTAGGTGGGGCAAACTCTACTACTTGGACTGGGCACCGAATAATGAGACCAAGGTAGGTCAAGCTTTCACAACAAGAGGAACTCGTTCTGAGGGAGAGAGAGACAAAGTTTGGTTGTGACATAAACGTCTTGGGCATGCTTCGTTCATTATTTGAAGAAGTTGTTTCCATCATTATTTTTTATTCTTGATATTTCCAGCTTCCAATGTGATACGTGTGAATTGGCTAAGAGCCATCTTGTCCCGTTCCCATTAAGTTCAAATAAGAGTTTGGTTCCGTTTTCTCTTGTTCATTCTGATATTTGGGGACCTGCTAAAATTGCCACTCTGGTAGGAGCTCAATAGTTTGTCACGTTTATAGATGATTGCACACGCATGACTTGCGTTTCCTTTCTCAAAACTAAAGGGGAAATCAGTTTAAAGTTTCAATAGTTCCATAAAATGGTGAAAACACAATTTCAGGCCTGAATCCAAGTTCTCCGTTCTAACAATGGCAGAAAATTTCTCAACCATGATCTTAACAAGTTCTTACAAGATCATGGCATCATACATAAACTTTCATGCCCATACACTCCCCACCAAAATGGAGTGGCTGAAAGAAAGAACAGACATTTATTGGAAGTAGTTTGTGCCTATCTCTTTGGTGCCAATATGCCTCGGCCTTTTTGGGGAGAAGCTGTCCTTTTTGCAACTTACCTTATTAATCGGATTCCCTCCAGTATCTTAAATTTTCAAACACCACTTCAAACACTTCACCACCATATGCAAATACCTCCCACCCCAAACCTGGAACCTCAGATTTTCGGCTGTGTTGTATTTGTACACTTACATGATCACCAACGAAGCAAACTAGATCCCCAAGCATAAAAGTGTGTTTTCATTAGCTATGCTCCTCATCAGAAAGGGTACAGTTGTTATCATCTCTCTCTCTCTCTCTCTCTCTCTCTCTCTCTCTCTCTATATATATATATATATATATAATCCTTACACCGGATAAGCCCGAATTGGCTTGGATAAAATTTTAACCCATGTTTGTTTTTGATTGATTATAGTTTTAAATGGGGATTGTTAATGTTGGCCCCACCAAAAACAACTTCTTAGAGGGGGACAATAAAACGCATGTGGAAAGGGGGGAGCAAAAAATAACCCCCTTTTGCCCCAAACCCCACTGTCACCACCACCCAGTGAAACTCTATCTACACCAGTAATACCAACATCCATACCTCATTAAACCCCATCCCACCATTAAGGGGCGGAGCCACATATAAGCCTGTAATGGTTGTGACCCCTTAAAACCCCATGAAAAAGACATTAATACTTAAGCAGCTGCTGCGATATATATTAGTTCAAATATAACTCTATATAAGCTTGAAACTGTAGTACACACAAAAAATCAAACCACCACCAACCATGAACTAGTGAGAGAGAGAGAGAGAGAGAGAGAGAGAGAGAGAGAGAGAGAGAGAGAGAGAGAGAAAGAAGCCCAAAAAAAAGGACATTGGGGATGGATGGTAACGTGAAGGTAATTGGGGTTGGGCTAGATGGGGGTGGTGTTTTTTTTGTTTTTTATTTTATAACCGATGGTTGGGTTTGTTTTAATTTTTTCATTTAAGATTTTAGGTAATATATATTTTTTATTATATATTTTTTTATGGATAAGATATTAATAAAAATAATTTTTAGAAATGGCTCAACATTTTGGTTGATTGATGCATTTGAGTGAAAATTTAAAATTTGAAGTGACACATGTATTATTTATGTTATTTTAACATTATACAGCTTTTAGTCTAGTATTACATCAAACATCGGATAAGTCTTATTCAGCTTAAATCAAGCTCAGCCAATCGAGGACAGTCTCTAAGTATAGTTTATGCCAAAACAATCATTCATAACAAACAAGGCCTTAGGTTATTAAAAATAAGCTAAAAAATATTTAGGACAAAAATGAGAAACCAAACCACCACCACCATCCTTCGATGGAGAAACCAAAGAAGCAACACCATCATTCGATGAAGAATTAACCACCATCATCACACTTCTTACACTACTATAATATACATTGTAATATCACAACCAACATGTTTGTTGTGGCGACAAGGTTATGGTCACAAAACTTGCCAGCGAAATCATTTGTCGAGACTGTTTCAAAGTGTATCGTTGCCTTTATAGAGTATCATGATACTCCTAAAATGCTTAAGATGGTTTTTGGGATCGGAATCCCCTTTGAATGGTCTAAAGGTAAGAGTCTAGAAACCACCTTGGTGGAGCTGCTTGCTTAATTTCATCGTTGAACGGCGAGAAATTCACTTAGTCTACCTCTTTGCGCAAGGGTGTCTTCCAAGTCTCCTTCGATTTTAGGTCTCGGAGTTGATCATTCATGAGCTTCTCAACATCCTAGACTCGTAACTCTTGCGGTTCTTGCCAAGGGTTTCTATGGCGTTGGTGTCATTAGTCAACCTCCTCATTAGCAAAAGAGTGTTGTTCTCATTGGCTACCCTGCCGGCGCAGCGTATTAGTGGATTGAGTTTGTGAATGATTTTGTTGTGGCATGTAGCCTAGAATTTACCCTTTCGGTGCTAGTCGGTGAGCGTCCTCCTTGATGCTCTCCATGAGGTGGGCTACGGGGATGGCCTTCTCATGGGTCTAAGCTCAAATGAACACTTCCTTGAGCGCCCAAGCAGGCATGGACATCAGACTATGCCCCCAGCATTGAGTGGACATTAGTTCATGGGCCTAATCTTGAACGGATACTTGACCTACTTTGGTCATGACTTGTGGATGCTAGTGACATGCCTGCATGCTAGTTTGCACACTCTTGTCCTCCTCCTTGCATGTTGGTTCTTACTCGACTTTCTTAGGACCTCTCGTGTCGTCTACCAGTGCATTTGCCCATCGTTGGAGGTGTGCTCGAGAATCGTGAACGTCAAGCGCGGAGGCAAATGAGGGAACTGATGCATTTGGTCCAAGACGGGGCCATATTTGGCGGTGGCAGCAAGATTGGCGTGAGCGGTGGTACCACCGAGTATAGTAGTGCCACTGTGGAGGTGAACTCCAGATTCGACAGTGAGGGTGATTTTCGGGCTCGGCCGTGTGGCCATGAGATGGAGCCGTGGTCTTGACCATAAGGCCATGTGCTGGAGCTGTGCTCACTTCCATGGTGGTGGTGAGATGGGATGTTAGCCCCGGCCACGGGTCATGACAAAGAGCAGTGGCTTCGACTGTTGGACCGTGAGGTCGGGCTCGGGCTCACACCTCAAAATGCTTTCGGTGTTGTCCCTTGGGAATGGCTCAGACTCTTGGCGAATTGGATAGTTAGGGTGGCCTTGATCCTCGTGATTACGCTTCCGGACACGGTTGTTCGGAAAGCTTCGGATGAATGATGAAAGGAAGGAAATCAATTTCCTTAGGTTTGGATTCGAGAGAAACACTTTGAGTATATCTCAAATCTCTCAATAAAAGTACCAATTTGTTTGTACAAAAAAAAATTATGAGGAGAATATCACGGATGATCATCTCTTCTATCTCGATCTTCTTCTTCCACAAACCTGCAAAATAAATGCCATCAACGGAGAACACCCAGGAGATGTTGGCCAAATGCCCTCTTATGCCTAAGTTAGTAAATGGTCTCAAGGAGATGCAGATTTGATTAAAGGATGAAGTTTTCCTCTATGTGAAAGGAGGAGGCGCGTGCGTCGGGAAGTGGGATCAGAGCGCGGAGCCGTGAGAAAGGGATAAGAAAGAGAGTAGCATGAGCTTTGCTATTTTTTTTGGAATTACCTCATGTGTGGTGAGATGCCATATTTATATAGAGCCTTCATCTTTGGTAGGGTTTGTGGAGAATAATTCCCTATTGATATGAATTATTCTTTTCCTTAAATGAGATGACACGATAATATCAAGGAGATTTGGTGGAAATCGAATCTTTGATTTAGGGAGATATTCCTATCTTAAATAAGGATAATTGGCTAATTAAATAGGATTTAATTAGCACAATTATTTGACCTAATGAATTCGTTTTTCCACGTTTTAGTTTCTGATTGGTTGTCAAAATTCGTCTTCCCACAAGGTGTTTGACTAGTTTAATCTTTTGTCCATGTTTTGGGTGATTTACGAAGATTATTGCCGACTAATGATGATGCTTTATTAATTGTCTCATGAGGATGGGCTGACATTATCATCAAACAATTAATTTTTTCAATATATTTGTGTTTGGGGATTTTAATTGGATTGGATTATGAGGTTGAATTAGATTACATTGGGCTGAATTGGATTTGAAATGATAACAGTAATCTAATGATGTTTTTGGCACTCAAGGGACTTGTATGCTCAAGTGCTTAAGAGCATTTACCTTTGCACTAGGAGAAACACTTGTGTGAAACGGGGATAGCACATTTTTTTGCTATCTCCGGCTAATCATGGCATGTCACACGTGATAACTTTTTACGTGACAGTTTGTGATTGGTTGGGGAAAGCAAAATAATGCTATCCTCATTTCATACAAGTTTTTCTGCTACACTAAGGGTTCTAGGTTTGATTCCCCATGATTAAATGATGTGTTTAGTACTACACATAATTAAAGAATTTAATTAATTGAAATTGCTGTTATATGGGTTTAAATATTGTATTAGACATAATTCTTCTGTACTTAGTCCTAGAAAGATTAGACATAATCCAATCCAAATTGTTTTCAGGCTATCAAATCTTTGATGATGATACCTAACTACATAATTTAAACCAACAATATTCATTATAATTTGGTAGAATTGTGGGCGCATGTTATGGAATTGTTTTTTTGTTTAATTGAAACCATAGTGGAGGAATGTGGACTCAAAATAGGACCGAGCTGGGCTTCAATTGCTTGATTTTTCTCTAAATAATATTTTCATTGAATTGTGTCAATACGTGACTATTTTAGTCATTTCTTATTGAATGTTGATGAACCACCTGACATTCAAATTAAATAAATTAAATACTAAGAGTCATGGGAAGAGATGAATAAATAAATTGCCGTCTGTCCCCATCTAACAGCACACCAACACTGGAGTAAAAGAGACACGTTGATTCCAAATACATGGTAAGTTCCATATAAATCCTGATATACATGGTATTGGAACCTCCGACTCTGTGATCCGTAACCACATGCTCTAATTCTTTGATTTATATACATCACTCTATTTTAATTCGATAAATATAAATTGCGCATCTCATAAAGTGTGCGTGATTCTCTCTTGATTAATTCAACTTGATGTTGTATTTGGTCACAAGTGAAAATTTACCAATATTCAATCGGCACCTTAGTTGCGTGATTCTTCACTAGGAGTTCATACATGCTCTTAGTGAGAGCATATGAATGTTGTAATTCGTATATATACTTGTATATTTGAAGTCAGCTCCCAAAGAAATGTCTTTTATTCAGAAAAGAGTTATGCACCAAAACAGATCATATATAGCTAGTGTAACTAAAAGGATTCCAAGGTGCTGAATAGCGATTAGAGAAATTTATAATGAACCCCATTTCTTGAAATGATTTTATAAATAAACACTAAAACCTATAAATTGAAGAAGAAGAAAAAAAAACCCCAAAAAGAACCATTTGCATTATTTTTTTAATTTCAATGACGTGTGAAATATTGTTATTATCTTTGCTTTATGATTTTTAGAAGAAAAAAACTATGATAACAGTGTTATAATAATTAAGTTTTTCAAGGCTTGGATGATATATTTGGTGGGCTGTTGAATTAGGCTTGAATGGATTCATATTGGCTACAGATTCCCAGGAGGTGGTCAATTTCTTAAAAGCTGGTGGGGAGACATGGAACAATATTAGGAATATGGTGGACGATATTCAACTTCAAGCAACTCAATTGGACATTGGCGAAGTGGTTCACCAACCTCGGCAGGGTAATTGTGTGGCTCACTTTGGCACAATTTCGTCTGAAAGCACAAAGCTTCTGTTTTTGGGAATGTATCGCTTCAAGTTGGTTGTCACTGTTCTTGGAAAAGGATTTGGAGAATAGCTCAAAATTTCAACAAATATGACAATATCGCCCTTTTAGATATGGATGTCAAACCCAACAACTTTTCATCTTCCTCAATCCCTGTTTTGACTGTGCTCAAGGATTTCAAAACCAAGAGAACAAAACTACAATGGTCGCGGTCACCGGTTTCCAACTCAACGCCAGTTTCGACGTTGCTCAAGAATTGATGAATGTTCCGACCAAAAAGACCAAACTACAAAGATGAAAATATAAAATCCAATATTGCTTTTTTCGCCTGAATGAGAAAGCCAGAAAAATGAGGGCACTCTTCAGTGTTCTTCTTCAAAGCGAATAAGGAATTACAGGGGCGTTGTCTCTTCAGTGTTAGTGTTCTTCATCAATCAAAGTTTATAAAAAAAAAGGCCTCCTAATTGAATAAAGTGAACAACTGGTTTGGAGGGGACATATGTTTTGGAGGTGACGTTTTGGAGGGAGGAGAGAGAAGAAGGCCTCGTTCTAATACAATAGTTTCACTTACAATTGCTTTTCACGCAGCCGTTAGATAAGATCTAATAGTGTTCTCATGTAATGTTCTCATGTAGGTGATCTCACTAGATACCTTTTTTGGAGTGCTATTAATTGTTTTTTGTTGTGAACTTTAGACAACTTGAAAAATGGAGATTATAAAGATTAGTCTAAACACAAATTATACTTGCAAGTGCACAAGGTCAATCGTAATATAGTATGGCAAATACACGAGGATTGAATTCAACTTTCAATTAGTCTAACCTAATTTACTTCACAAAATACTTTAACTACTCTAATTATATAAACAAGAAATTAAACACGTAGCATACTCATGTAAACAAGAAAGGGGTTTTTGAAAGGATGATTTAATTACCAACGAAATTAAAAGACAAAACAAGTAGAAAGTCACGAAACACAAAGATGAGAAATTCAAATTGATAAAAGCACTAGAACAATGAATTCACCACTAGTAATCCGATCTAGCCTCTTATTATCTACCTCTTAACTAACCATTTGATGTCGCCGCTTAGTTTTCATTTTCATGAATTACCTATGGTATTTAGACTAACTCGTATATTCCTACATGCAATTCGCCTATGATATTTAGGCCAAATATCAATACATAGAAACTCATTAAGATTAGTGAAAACCCCAACAAGCATGTAAACTCTAGGATTACCCTAGACGAATTACAAATCCTAATCACAAGAAGCAAGCCTCAAATTAAGTATGGTATTTACTATAATTTGCATCGGATTAACTCAATTAAAAGTCTAGATGGTGATCAAGCATCAAATAATCAACCAAGTTATTAAACACAGTGATTAAGAATCCAAAATCAAACGGCAATCAATAGATAGGTAAAATTAGAAAACTAAATTATCATACTGGCTACATCATGCCCTAGAAAAAGAAAATTAGTTACACATAATCATAGAATTCAGCATAAGTAAAAAGATAAGGAAGAAACAATAAAACTTAATTAGCCAATTGCGGTACTCTTTCGGCGTCTCCAATTTCTCCTAGTTTTTGAATGTCTCCCTAACAAGGGAGTTGTTTCTCATGCTTAAATAAAACACCACATGTCTATTCCTACCCTAGCTGTGCTTTTACAGCAGCCCAAAAATAATGAAAAACGTAATTAAAACAAATCCAAAATGGGTAAGTAATTGACTCCTCTTCCTACTTGGATTGGGATAACACGTCAATTACTTTGCATGCACGTTTGGGGTTGTTCCTCATCCAAGAAAATTCGGAAAACATATGTAAATTGTAGGTCCTTGTCTTATCTTTCCAGCCATATATTGCACGCCTTGAGAAAAAATCAGGAAAGTCTTCAAATAGTCATTCTTCCCCACAACACAGTTTTGATGGGATTGCACCTTATGCTGACTTAACTTCAAAGACTACTCTCATTGGCTGCTCCGAAAATTCTAGAAAATTTTCACAATCATATTCAAGATCTTAGCTTTCATATCCAACTGGTCTCGTACTAAAACTGTATCAAAAAGTCATATTTCCGTTGAAAACAAATTACTTGCTCTGGAAAGCTAAAAATTGAGACAATAAAGTAATAAGTCCTTTTTAAATCAAATTCCCCTACAAAAACTAAGTATAAAGAGTACATAAATGTGTAAATTTATGGAATTATCAATTTTAACGCATCAAAACTATATTTTTTTTAAATGATAATTGTATGTTATTTTTTTTGTTATTAGCATTTGGAAAAGGGTTCTTTTTAGACGTTAATTGTTTTGTTTTTTTTTGTTGGTAGGTTGGTTTTCTCGTCTTATAAGTCCAATAAATGGGGCTATTTGATTGACTTAAATTCATGTGAACTAACAAACGCAGGAGGACAGTTGAAATTGCTTGAGAATTAGAAGTTCAAAAGAAGGATCACCATTTTGTGGTTAGATTTCGTATAACATTCTAAAAGTTACCCATTTTGAAACAAGGAAAATGTTTTAGATTTAATTTGTACGCAAGTGTATACGTGCATTGTGAACTAATCTATGGAGGAAGTTTCTTAAGAAAAATTCTTCTCCTAAATATTGTTTACTTTGCAAAATGAAGGTGGAAGAATCCAACACACATTCCCATTCAAAAGTTTATATACACATATAGGATTGCATCATTTTTTTTCATGTTTGAAAATGGTCATAAGATATAATAATTCATTGTTTTGAAAGTTATATCATGTAAGAGTTTTTTGATTAAAAAACGATAGAATTTTATTAAATAAAACTAAAAATTACAAAGGACATAGACTGTAAGGAAAGTCATCACAATAACAATAGGGGAATGCTAGCAATCTTCTCTCTAACCTTCTCCTTTGGATCTTATCCATTTTTTGCTTGACATGTGTCATTCTCCTTACACTTAAAACAATGTCACTAATATGTTATACAAGTTAACTTTTCTTTCCAAGTTTACCCTTATTAAATGTATTCAATTTATCCATAACTTTCTTACCATCTTATTAAATTTTTTTCAAACGTCAATTATTTTTTTAAAAGAAAATGTCTGCTTTTTTCAAAAAAGATGAAATGCTGTTTTTTTTTTTTTTACTTTTTTCTTTTTCTTTTTCTATCTAAACCCTTGTTGTTAAGTTAAAGGGGGACATTTCCTCTCTAAAATCAGATGTTTTCTTTAAAAAAAATAATTGACGTTAGAAAAAAAATTAATAAGATGGTAAGATAGTTGTGAATTTTTTTGGGATAAATTGAATACATTTAATAAGGGTAAACTTGGAAAGCAAAAGTTAGATTGAATAATATATTAATGACATTGTTTTAAGTGTAAAAAGAATGACACATGTCAAGCAAAAAAAGAAGAAGGTCCAAAGGAGAAGGTTAGAGAGAAGATTGCTAGCATAATTTGTCTTTTTCAAATAGACACTTTCTAGAATTTTGCTCCCTCAAGACAATTTAGCCTATATGAAACGTTAGGGTATCTAAATTTCATGTACAACAAGAGTTCGATTTTTATTTATTAATTTTTTTTTAAAAGTTCAAGGGAAAAAAACAGATAGGGGGATTATAAAGGTTAACGTTTTCACAAAACCGATTCCTAAAGCATCTGTTACTCAACAATCGTACGACAAAAACGTCCAATTTGAAATATACACAAAAACGTTTCCTTCGATATACGCGTTTTTGTCCTATGTTAAAATTTACTTTGACCATTCTACCTAAGAAATTACAACCAAAAAATAAAAAAGCAACAAAATACTCATCGGAACATACAGGTTTAAGTACAAAATATATATTTATTTATTCTGCATTGACAAGATTTTGGAACTTGGTCAGCGTTGGCCAACTTATTTCTGTAAAATTTCTAGACCTTGTGGTGTGGGGCAACATTAAAATAACAGGCCCCAAGTAGAAATCCTCCACGTGTAAAATCAGTACATCCTGTTCTATAAATACCCATTCCTTTTCTCTAAATACCTCCACAACTGCCCAACACCTTCTCTCTCACTCAAAGATAGAAATATCACTCTCAAAGGCTCAGTCCCACCTCTTTTTCTCTCTCTCTCTCTTTCTCTCTCCTCTCAATGGCACCTACAGTTACTTCAATGGAGGCATCTAATGGCCATGAAGTACCCAAAGTAGCAAGCATCAAAACACTAGCTGACTCAGCTTCCTTCACTTTTGTACCTTCTGAGTACACCTATACCAAAAATCCTAATGAACAAGGCGATGCAAACGACCCAGAGCATTCAATCCCCATCATTGATTTTGCCCTTCTCACGTCGGGATCTCCTGATCAACGAGCAAAAGTGATCCAGGAGCTGCGCAGAGCTTGCGAGGAATGGGGCTTCTTCCAGGTATGTACCTTAATTTGTTTATAGTAACAGGACTTATGTTGTTAGACAAAGACTTATGTTTACCTTATAATATCAACAAAGTATTTGTCAAACTAATTAAGCATAAATTATATATATGGGAATTATTAGGTGACCAACCACGGTGTACCAGAGAATCTGATGCAATCAATGATCGACACGTGTCATAGATTCTTTGATCTGCCGGAGGAGGAGAAGAAGGAGTTCCAAACAAGGAACCTGTTGGATCCAATCAAGTGCGGCACCAGCTTCAACGTCGACATTGAAAAAGTTCATCTCTGGAGGGATTTCCTCAAGGTCATAGCCCACCCTGAGTTCAACTCACTCTACAAACCTGCTGGATACAGCGAGGTTTCACTGGAGTTCAGCAAACGAACCCGAGAAGTAGCCACAGAAATATTGAAGGGAATATCAGAGAGCTTAGGGTTGGAGGCTGACTACATTGCAAAGGCCATGAACTGGGACCGTGGCTTACAAATTCTGGCAGCGAATTACTACCCGGCGTGCCCACAGCCCGATAAAGCGATCGGCATTCCTCCTCATACTGATCACGGACTGGTGACCCTTCTCATCCAAAATGAGATGGGTGGCCTTGAAGTCAAGCACAAAGACCAATGGGTGTTGGTGAATGCTGCTCCGGGAACTTTTATTGTTAACATTGGTGACCAAATGCAGGTACCAAAATAACACCCAACATTTTTAAATCTAAAACCCATCTTATCTAAGAATTACAATCTAATAATTCTCTACTTATTTTCATAAATTAATGGTACCGATTATTTATGTGTATGGTTAATTTTTTGTGGCAGATTTTGACAAACGACAAGTACAAGAGCATATGGCATAGGGCTGTTGTGAACAACAAAGCTACAAGGATATCAATAGCTGTGCCCCATGGACCCTCACTGGACACACCAGCTTTACCAATCCCAGAGTTGTTAGAGAGAGAAGGCCAAACCCCAAAATACATTGGGATGACATATGAGAAATTCATGGAGCTTCAAGCAAGCCCTGCTGCCCTCACGAAACCTTGCTTAGATCACCTGCGGGTCAAGCATAACTAAGCTACGACTTCTCCCTAGTTAATTAGAGTCGAATAACAGCTTTGTTTCTCCTATATACATTGTCTTGTTCCGATTTTGAATTCATGATATTTCGCAGTGAGACATTCTCATCAAGTGTCGGATATTTCGCACATGTTACTCAAGATTCGAATTTTTACTTGTATCTTCTGTACTTTCATAATATTATATACGTTTATACCTCTAACTATGCCATTTAGTGTCCCGATTTGATTTATTTTCAATTATAAACCACAATCTCTGATATAAGAAAATTGACGGAGTAGCGAAAGGATTACTTGAGAACGTGAGTACTGAAGAAGCAATGGCAGAGCTAGAGCCTATATATTTAAGGGGAAGCAATAGCTGACATTTTTTTATATATATGAATTGCACACAAATTGTCAAGTTTTATATAAAGCGCAAAGGAGTTTTTGAAAATTTGGGGTCACAACCACTTTTAGCCTTGAAATGGGGAAAGAACTATTCTGCTATCCCCGGTCAATAACGCTTTGACACAGTAACACTCGTGACAACACTTCCACGTGGCATAACATTATAGGTCAGGGATAGTAAAACAGTGATATCCACGCTGTAACTAAGTTTTTCTTTAATTGGCTCCGCCCTTGTGAAAAAGGCTTCTTGCTTGAGTTGTAATCTTAAAGCATCTACAAGGGAAATGTCAAATATAAATTATAAAATTAAAATTTGATAACTTACATGACAATTTGACATATATTGCATGTAATGATAAATGAAGAAAGAGAAAGGCATAAAATAAAATAATTATAAATTGTAGAAGTGGTGACTCCCATTTGTGCTCCCCCAACAAATGTAATAATTTTAAATAAAAGACATTATGGTGCAAAGCCCAAAGTAATGATTTGTGGGCCATTTGGTTTAAAATTTTGCAAATTATATGCAAATAACGCTTGAAGCTTGCAGGGTCAATTTTGAAGTTGTGAAGGGTCGACACGCTATTCCATGTCGAAATTAAGGTAGGTTTTGTTTTTCCAAAGTAAAATTAAATGTTTAAAGCATGATGACCAAAAAAACAAAAAACAAAACTTGAATTCAACTTCTGAGTCGGGGTCATACTTTGGCTTGGGGGACTTTGGATGCCAATAAATGAAGGTGGGATTTTGGGTGGTGGGTGGGTGTGACTTTGGGTGGAGGAAGGCGTGTTGGGTCGATGAGAGAGAGAGAGGCGATGGGGGATGAGGATGGTGCAGAGTGGCTGGAGAAGTGCGAGAGTTGTTATTACAGTTGTCTTAAATCTGAACCTGATGCAGGAGCATATGGGTGGATTAAGATAAATATTTACCATTTAATTAGTTATTTCATGATATATTGTTATTTTCTTATTTAGGTTGTTTTAGGATGTCTTTTATTATTTATGTATGATTCTATAGTTAATTACTTTACTTTTGGACCAAGTAGCCTTAGTGCCCAATTCTTGTAAAGCCTATAAATAAGGCTAATGTAATAGTTGTAGGGAGTTCACTACTACAAAAAGTGAAAAAGATGACCAGAAAAACACGACGGTCTAAGTGAAAACCGTCGTTGTTTTTTAAAAGACGACGGTTTTATAAAACCGCCGTGTAATAACACATTAGACAACTAAAAAATGGAGTTTCAAATGGCTGTTCCAAAAACACGACGTACTTAATTAAAAAACCGACGTCTTATTGAAATAGGATTTTCAAGAGGTAAAATCATAGCCAACAAATAACGGCGGAAGTTATGAACCGACCGATGTAGAAAGTAAAGATGACGGTTTCACAAAAAGCCGTCGTTTTTACCCAGAAATTAACACGACCAAGTTTTCGTATAAGGCGACGTATAATTACAAATAAATCCACGGCGGTAAAATACAAAATACCGCCGTATTAAATTAATGTACAACTACGGCAAAGGTAAATATAACGACGTCTTTCTCGTATTTCTACGACGACATCTTTAAATCTTACCAAGTTGGGGTTTTCATATAACGACGTATTATAGAATTTAACGTCGTATTTGTCCACTTTATACGTCATAAATTATATTTAAACCGTCGTCTGAATAAGAATTTTTTTTAACAATTTATTTCTTCGATTTTGTTATCCTACGTCGGTAGATCTACCTAACGACAAGAATTGAAATAACCACGACGGTTTATATAGAAAACCGCCGACATAATCAGATTATTCTGAGATCACAAGGGTTAGGAAATCTTACAAGATGGAACTCTGTTGCTCATCATAATCTTACCAGAAAGACAATATTTTAGAGGTTAATGATGTATGTGTATTTGTGTCTTTGAGATACACAAACGCACATACACATTAACATCCAAAAAATTGCTTCTGAAATTTGACGACGGCAGCCTCAGATTTGCAATCAGAGAGACAATTTTTTGGAAGTTAATGATATGTGTGCGTTTGTGTATCTACACAAACGCACGCACACATCAACATCCAAACAATTGCCTCCTAAAATTTCACGACGGCAGCCACAGATTTGCAATCAGAGAGACAATTTTTTGGAAGTGAATGATGTATGTGCGTTTGTGTATCTACACAAACGCACATACACATTCACATCCAAACAATCGCCTCCTAAAACTTCACGACGGCAGCCACAGATTTGCAATCAGAGAGACAATTTATTGAAAATTGGTGATTTGCAATCAGCCACAGATAACCAACATTCAAACAATTGCCTCCCAAGAGATGAGGTGAGACAGAGAAAGGGGCAAGAAGAATTGAAACCCTAATCGAATACTAAAACTGAAAGAACCCGTGGAAAAAAAACCCTATTTATAATTAAAAAACCAAATCCACGTCGGTTATATTACACATAACGACGTTTAACAAAAACAATCCTCGTCGGTAACAAATACATTACGTCGTTTTATTCTTACTTAAGACGACAAGAAACAACGACGGTATAACAAAAACAGTCGTTGTTTTATATTTTTATTTGATTTAAATCAGTCACCTAGAAAAGAAACTTTACAAATTCTAGAACATTAATTTCCTCGGGAAAAAATTAGGGAGTTTCACTAAAACACCCCAAAATGGAGGTTGAAATTATAAAAAAACCCAACACCCAAAACACTTTATAAACACACCCAAAACCCATCATTACACACACTCAAAACCCATTTATAAACACACCCAAAAAGTTGACTTTGGGGTTGATTTTGGGTGTGTTTCTATGTTTAAATAGTGCTTGGGTTTTTTTATAAATACATGTCTAGGATTAGGTTTATTTATAAATTCTATAAGGCACTGTTTTTGAAAAATAAACTATAAGAAAAAGGGGAAAAAAATTATATTTATAATAAAAAAAATAAAATCCACGTCGGTTATATTACACATAACGACGTTTAAAAACGAATCCACGTCGTGGAAAAAATAATACGTCGTTTTAGTTTAGTGTTATCCACGTCGGTATATTACAATAAAACGACGTATATTATAAAATAAACGTCGTAAATTTAAAACAACCGTCGTGTTAAATATTTCTACCATGACGCGAGATATTGAGTTATCGACTTTTATTTAGGAGTTTACTACGGCGGTACCTACAACACCACTGTCGTATTTATGTACCACGTCATAAGTTCAAATTAGCGTCGTAGTTTGTCTATTAATACGTCGTCGTTCTATGTAAACCGCCGTCTTATTACTATGAAACGGTTTGTATACATATACAACTTTTCGTCTACCTGACTTACACATGCACTGTTTCCAAACCCGAGAAAACATTTCAATCTCCCAGAGAAAACTTTTCGTCTTTTTTCCTTGTCAGAGCACTGTCAGAGTATCTCATCGTCTTCCTCTTGTCTTCGTCGTCGCCTCTGAACTTAAACACCAAAATCCGAGAGAAAGCTTTCATTGCACGCAAAAGGTAAGCTTTCATTTCTCACTATTTTTGTTGCTATTTTGCATGCTCATACTGTTTTTGTTTTGAAAATCTTTTTACCTTTTTTCTGGCGAAAATCATTTTTATTCTTTCCAAGTTTGATAAAATACACAGACAGAGAGGGAAAGTTTCAACTTTGAACATAACTAATTCAACTAAATAAGACGACGGTAGCTTTTTATTTACGTGGTTAAATATGTAGACCACGACGGTTCGTCAGTCGTCCTAGCGTCGTCTTAAAATTGATCTAAGTTGTTTTTAAAATGACGGTCAATTTTTTATTTGCTTGTTTAGTTGCAGGTTCGATTTCTCTAAACCATGGTTTTCGTTTTTCCTAATTTGATAAAATACAGAGACAAAGAAAGTAAGGTTTGGTATCTTATATAGACGACGGTATCTTATTATTGACGCCGTGTGAATGTTCATACCACGACGTTATACTAAGATACCGTCGTCTATAAAAAGATGCCAAAGCTTTTTTTCTTTGTATTTTATCAAATTAGGAAAAACAAAAACCATGTTTTAGAGAAATTAAACCTGCAATCAAACATTCACAAAGAAAGAAAAATGTTTTGGTTTCTTATAAATACGACGGTAGCTTATTATTCACGTCGTGTGAATATCCATAACACGACGTTATATTAATATTTACGTCGTGTTAATATGAATATCACGACGTCGTGTAAATATCGCCGTAATAAGTTCTTATTACGTCTTATTTAATATTGTTTCGTCGTTGTTTAAACATTTATATTGTTCTTCTTTAAACATTTATTACGTCTGATGTTATGTTATTACGTCGTGTAAAATCTTATCATACGTCGTAGTTTATAAATAACCGTCGTTTGTGTTCTAATTTTTTTCACGAAATATTTTCACTTGCAGGTTTGTTTATTCTGTAACCATGGTTTCTCAAGACCAAAGTAAGTACTCTGGCTCCAAAAAAAATGGAGGTAAGGAGCTTGGAATGGTAACTCCTCAAGACAAGCCCTTGAAGAAGATGAAGTTTGTTTCATCTGCTGAGAAAGAACCAAGCAGCACGACAACAATTTCTGAGGATTCAAAGTCAGGTCGAGGTATGAGCACAATGCCTCGTGTTGTGAAGAGAAAATTGCAGAAAATCAAGCCAGTTGTTGAGTACAATAAAAGGGGGAAAGGATGTGGCCCTGCACATACTGAGATGCAGTCCTACATTGGTGTGTTGGCACGCTCCAGAGTCCCACTTGTGGACAAGAAATGGGCTGAAATCCCCAATGATATAAAGGAGCAGATTTGGGAAGCCGTTGACATGGCTTTTGTGGTAGGTCAAGGGGGCAAGACCTCGGTGTTATCTTCTGCTGCCAAGAAATGGAAGGATTTCAAGTCTACACTGACGAGGCATTATATCCTTCCATACATCAAGGAGAGGGAGAAATTAAGCCAACCCCCTGAAGTATATAAATTCATAGAGAAAGCAGAATGGGATGCCTTTGTAGCTTCAAGGTTATCCAAAGAATTTGAGTCTGTGCATTCTCAACATGCACAGATTAGGGAGAAACTTGAGTACAATCATCGATTGTCTCGAAAAGGATATGCTGGTTTGGAGGATCAATTGGAGGAAACCATGCCTGGGGTAGAAATTGATCGATCTACCTTATGGAAGAAAGCTAGACAGGACAAACATGGTAACATCCCGGATCCAAAGGTGGCAGAGAAAGCAAAATTAATTGTAAGCCTACACACTCTGTTTTAAATTTTTATTAAACTGGGTAGAATTCTTATTACGTCTTATGTTATATTTTTCCGTCGTGTGAATGATTTTACTACGTCAAAATATTTTAAAAAACGTCGTGAAAGATCTAAATCTGGAATCACAACTCTGTTTTCTGTAATTATAGCATAAGACGTCGGTGGTTAATTTTTTCCGTGTTAATGTTATTACTACGTCGAAATGTTTTCAAAAACGTCGTGAAAGATCTAAATCTGGAATCACAACTCTGTTTTCTGTAATTACAGCATAAGACGTCGGTGGTTTATTTATTGCGTCGTTTTAAACAACTAACCACGTCGGTTTTAATTAACGTCGTTATAAATATATTATAACGTCGATTTCTATATTGGTGCGTCGTGTGAAATTATATAATGCGTCGTTTGTTTATAAATAACCGTCGTGTATTTTCTTGTGCTGACTTTTTTTATGTCTTTGTTTTAGGATGAATTGCAAAAACAAGTGGCTGAAGGCAGTCTGAGTATAACTGGCAGTAATGATGTGTTGACCTTGGCTTTGGGTCCCGAGCATCCAGGGAGAGTAAGAGGGGTAGGTGCTGGGATTTCCCCTAGGCAATTCTTCAATTTACCTAGACCACAAAGGGTAAAGTTTGCTGATCAATTGAAGGAAAGTGTAAGAATTGTCCTTCAAGAAGAGACTAAGAAGATGGAAGCTAGAACCAAACAATTAGTAGAGGCTGAGAGGGAACATTTACTAAGTCAGCTTTCCCACCTCATCCCCAATTTTGATCCAAGCATGCTTAAACCGAAAACTAGCCCCTGTCAAAACCAAGGTCTACAACAAAGTCCCAAGAATCCAATGTCTGATAAAGCAAGCTGTTCTGGGGCTGAAGTGAGATCCCTACATTTAGAGGATGATACTGCCAGAAATGGGGAACAGCAGGAACAAACGGTAACATATCTGAACTTTGAATTCTCTGTTTTTTTTTAAACATTAGACGTCGTTATTATGAATAAACCCGTCGTTTTAAAACCATACCACGACGATTTTATAAATAACCCGTCGTGTTTATTTAAATACCACGTCGTATTTAGTTTACTTGTTTTACACGCCATTAGACGTCGTACTTTGTGGCTTTTAGACGACGGTTTTTGTCCTTAACGACGTAATATAAATTACCACGACGTTTATTATTTACCATCGTTTAATAATTTTAAGACGTCCATAATTCTTACATACCGTCTTATGTTATGCCTTACCACGACGTTTTGGTTTAATTTTTTTACTCTTGTACAATCTGTCTTATATATATATTTCTTTATTATTTAAAACAGAAATCTGGGGGCTTTAGATAATCAAGATGAAGAGAAGAAAGAAGAAATAAAGATGAACAGAAGATGGGAGAAAAAAAAGATGAAGGGAAGAAGGAAGAAAAAAAGAGAATAAAGATGAAGGCAAAGAGGAAGACACAAATGTTGAAGAGAAGAAAGAAGAAAAACAAGATGAAGAAAAGCATGACGAGGAGGTATATTCTCATAACTTTGCCTTTTTAATTTGTTTTTCACATTTCAGACGTCGATATTTTTCTTTAAACCGTCGTTTGTTTTCACATTAGACGTCGGAATTTATTTTCTACGACGTAATAAATAATCTAAAACGACGGTATTTAATTACCGTCGTTTAAATTATAATCAGACGACGTTTTTTAATTTAAACCGTCGTTTTAATGAATTACCACGTCATTTTATTTTGCTTTATTTCTTTAAACAGGGTAATGAAGTAGTTGATTATTCAAATGTGGAGGTGCCATCTTCCTTACAATCCCTTTGTGGTTATGTGGAAACTACACTAAAGCCACAGGGGAAGATCATGACCTTCAACATTGAGAAGGAGGTGTTTGGTGCAGATCGAGGTACCTTCGTCTTGCATGAAGATATTACACAGTTTGCAGGCATGGAAGAAATTGGGGCTACTGTGGTTGCAGTATATATGAGGTTTGTCCTAATCAAATATCAAACATTATATCATAAGACGTCGGTTGTTTAATTATTGCGTCGTTTTAAACCACTAACCACGTCGTTCTTTTTTACCGTCGTGATAAATTAGTTATCACGTCTGTTTCTATTTCAGTTCGTCGTGTGAAATTGTATAATACGTCGTTTGTGTATAAATAACCGTCGTTTGTTTTATATATTTAGGTGCTTATATGATCTTTTGAGAGAAGCAAATATGTGCAGCATGGTTGGCTTTATCGACCCTGCTCAAGTTAGTGCCAACGCTGGGTCACTAACTGACAGATCACGAATTGTAGCCAGTCGACTTCAGAAAACAGATGGTGAACAGATTTTCATGATGCCTTACAATCCAGGGTTAGTCTCCTTAAAAGGATTTTGTTTGTATGATTTTCACTAACTGAACACTTATAAAACTGTTTAACTAATTCTGTGTCGTTTGAAACATCTAACCACGTCGGTTATTTATTTATTGAGTCGTTTGAAACAACTAACCACGTCGGTAGTTAATTACCGTCGTGATAAATTTATAATGACGTCGATGATTAAGTTATTACGTCGTGTGAAACTATATAATACGTCGGTTTTTATAAATAACGTCGTTTGTTTTCTGGTGCTGACTTTTTATATTAACCGTCGTTTTTTATTTTATTTTGTGCAGCCGTCATTGGGTCTTGCTGATTGTGAGGGCAAAGAGGGAAACCGTCTATTTTCTGGATCCTCTGCCTGGAAATCGTGTGGTTGATGAGGAGGGCAAAAACATCGTGAACAGTGCTTTAAAAATTTATAATTCCCACATAGGCAGACCAGGCCGTAAAGCACCAATTTGGAAAACTCTGCCAGGCACACCAAAGCAACCCAGCAGTGTCGAATGCGGGTATTATGTGATGCGCTTCATGAGGGACATCATCATGGATCTTTCCTTGGAGTTTGAGAAGAAGGTAAGAAATAAAATTTTCAGAAACATTTTATGTGGTTTTTTGTATTATCAACGACGGTCATTTAAAATTACCGTCGTTGAATCGATAGACTACGTCGGTTATGAAAAAAAACGTCGTCTGTGTCTGAATTTCTTTTTATTTTGTAAAGCTTAATAATCATTGTTTATGGATTGCAGTTTGCCAAGGGAAAAGATCAAGCGCCATACCCCCAAGCAGCCATTGATGAAGTCAGGAAAGAATGGGCAGAGTTTGTTTGCCTTCATATGGATTAGAGGATTTTTGGAACACTTGATATTTTATATGTACTAATTTTGTCTATAATATATAATGTACAAATTTTGTCTATAATATACATCCTTTTTTTCCCTGAAAATTTGCTGAGGTTTTCATATATATAAAGAAAAAACAAATTGCGTAACCGACGTGTAATAACTTTCCAACGACATAATTATGTAAAAAACCCGACGTAAAATGATATTTAGACAGATGGGACGTACATGGGGACGTCGTTTTGATGAAATTTCGCCATGGTTTCGTTTTTAAAAGACGTCCTTTTGAACAAGTAAGTCGTTCATTAGGGTTTAGGTTAATACCTTTTAACGACGGTGATTAGGTCGTGGAATATCTATTTTACGTCAGATGGTGAAACATCCGCCCTGGTTTCTCTTTAAAACGACGTCCTTTTTACATGTGAGTCGTTTATTATTATTTACAACGTCGTGGTTTGTTGTTGATATAAGAATATTTATTATTTTTAATTCAAAATTTTAAAAATAAATTTAAAATAAATTCAAAAATTCAACTTCAACTCCTATGAAGTCATTGATATATTTTCTTCCCCCTAAAACCCCAAAAAAAATGCAGTTTGTGTAATAAAAGTTTAAAATGACCAACCAAAAAAATTGTTTTGATGAGTCATAGCATCACTTATATAGTTTGATGGTTTAGGGTTTAGGGTTTGGGGTTTAGGGTTGTTATTTATTAGGGTTTTATGGTTAAAGTATAATTTTTGGGGTTTAGGGTTTATGTTTGTTATTTATTAGGATGTAAAACCATAAACAATTTTATAAAATTAAATTTTACAAATATATAATTTATGGTTTTAAAGTTTAGGGTATTACTTTTAACGACGGTGATTGAGTCGTGGAATATTGAGTTTACGTCGTATGGTGAAAAATCCGACGTGGTTTTTTTTTAAACGACGTTTTGTTACCTTTTAGTCGTTTATTATTTTTACAACGTCGTTAGTTACTTAACCCCGCCGTGGTTTGTTGTTGATATAAGAATATTTTATTATTTTTTAATTCAAAATTTTAAAAATAAATTAAAATAAATTCAAAATTCAACTTCAACTCCTATGAAGTCATTGAGATATTTTCTTCCCCCTAAACCCCAAAAAATGCAGTTTGTGTAATAAAAGTTTTAAAATGACCAACCAAAATAAAATTGTTGTTATGTGTCATAGCATCACTTATATATTTGATGGTTTAGGGTTTAGGGTTGGGGTTTAGGGTTGTTATTTATTAGGGTTTATGGTTAAAGTATAATTTTGGGGTTTAGGGTTTATGCTTGTTATTATTAGGATGTAAAACCATAAACAATTTTATAAAATTAAATTTTACAATATATAATTTATGGTTTTAAAGTTTAGGGTATTACTTTTAACGACGGGTGATTGAGTCGTGGAATATTGAGTTTACGTCGTATGGTGAAAAATCCGACGTGGTTTCTTTTTTAAACGACGTTTTGTTACCTGTTAGTCGTTTATTATTTTACAACGTCGTTAGTTACTTAACCCCGCCGTGGTTTGTTGTTGATAAGAATATTTATTATTTTTAATTCAAAATTTTTAAAAATAAATTTAAAATAAATTCAAAAAATTCAACTTCAACTCCTATGAAGTCATTGATATATTTTCTTCCCCCTAAACCCCAAAAAAATGCAGTTTGTGTAATAAAAGTTTAAAATGACCAACCAAAATAAAATTGTTTGATGAGTCATAGCATCACTTATATAGTTTGATGGTTTAGGGTTTAGGTGTGGGGTTTAGGGGTTGTTATTTATTAGGGTTTATGGGTTAAAGTATAATTTTGGGGTTTAGGGTTTATGCTTGTTATATATTAGGATGTAAAACCATAAACAATTTTATAAAATTAAATTTTACAAATATATATTTTATGGTTTTAAAGTTTAGGGTATTACTTTTAACGACGGTGATTGAGTCGTGGAATATTGAGTTTACGTCGTATGGGTGAAAAATCCGACGTGGTTTCTTTTTAAACGACGTTTGTTTACAGTAAGTCGTTTATTATTTTACAACGTCGTTAGTTACTTAACCCCGCCGTGGTTTTTCATAGTTTTAACGCCTTTTTTGATTTTGCGTGGTACATAGTTTTACCACGACGTCCTTAATGTAATAAGCGTCATGTTTAATGTTAAATTTTAACGACGCTTGTTTTTCGGTCGATGTTTTAAAAAGCGCGCTTTCTTAAAATATTCGCGGGACCTAAAATTTTCAGATTTGGCTCTTATTTTTATACTTCTAACCCTGAACCCTAAAATTTTCAGATTTCGCGCAACATAACATTTCGCTCTCTCACTTCATCTCTAATTCAAAGTTGGGCCAGGCTGTGTCAAATCCAATTTGGTCATAATCTGTGAGCTCTGCCAACCTGTAAGTACAAACCCTCTCTTCCCCTTGTAAATTCATTGAATGATATATTACGTTGTTTTGTTAAAGGGTTTTAGGTATATGTTTTGCGATCTGTTAATAATGTTGTTGGAGGTATGGGTTCATGGATTTTCTGTTTAATGTTTTCTTGATCACTCTCTGTTATGTTGAATATGGAATGGATTTCATTTTGTCGGATCTTTTAATCACTCTCTGTTATGTTGAATTGGGAATGGATTTATTGTTTTCATGCTTAGTATATGTTGGTTTCATGTATATGTTGGTTTCTTGCTTGGTTTCATGTCTATGTTGTGTTCTTAATAGGGTTTTGGGATCTTGAAAATAAACTGGATATCGACGCGTTTTCAGGCATACGACGACGGTTTTTACTTTAAACCGTCGTTTTTATTACTTATACACGACGGTGTTATTTAACTACCGTCGTGGTTATAATTAGACGACGTAAAATCCGTCGTCTATATATGTCAAATACGTCTGTTTTTGTTTAAAAACCGTCGTCTGTTGTATATTACTTGCTATTAGACTTTATATAATCTGCTATAGTGATGGTCATTGCTTGTCTTTTCACTTTATTATATATAATAGGGTATAGTGTCGGAGATGGATAAGTCATGGATGCACTCGGATAGAAGATCGAAGGCATATGAGTTAGGGGTGGAAGCATTTTTGAACTTTTCTGTAGAAAATCTTCTAACTACCACACATATCCGTTGTCCATGTGTTAAATGTGTTAATTTGAAATTGTTTGGGGTTGGAATTATAAGGGATCACTTATACTTTAATGGAGTTGACCAAAGCTATAAGAATTGGACATTTCACGGAGAACCTTGGGAAGCAGCTACTAATGCTAGTAGAAATGTTGAAGAAGATGATGACCATAGTAGGTACAGTTTTGTGTCTGAAGAAATAGAGATGGATGATAATGATTTTGGTGATTTTGGATCTGATCCTTATGAGTTTGCCAATGTGATTGGGGATGGAGATCAACCATTGTACCCTGGTTGTAGAAAGTACACGAAGTTATCGGCATTAGTGAAGTTGTATAATTTGAAGGCAAAATATGGGATGAGTGATGTCTGTTTTACAGAATTATTGATACTTCAAGGCGATTTGCTTCCAGAAGGAAATACAATACCGGCCTCTATGTATGAGGCAAAAAAGACTTTGTGTGCATTGGGGCTGAGTTATGAGAAAATGCACGCATGCCCCAATGATTGCATCTTGTATAGGAAGGAGTATGAGGATTTAACTCATTGTCCTAATTGTGGTATCTCAAGGTGGAAGGAAGGCAAAGATTCAATCTTGAAAGAGGGTGTGCCAGCGAAGGTGGTGTGGTATTTTCCTCCAATTCCAAGGTTTAAAAGGATGTTTCGATCACATGAGACCGCTAAGAGTTTGACTTGGCATGCTGCTAGAAAATCAATTGACGGTTATATGTCTCATCCAGCGGATTCCCCGTCTTGGAAACTTCTTGATGATAAATGGCCCGAGTTTGGTAATGAGCCGAGAAACTTGAGATTGGCTCTTTCATCTGATGGATTCAATCCCCACAGTTCTCTAAGTAGCAGATATAGTTGCTGGCCAGTTATCTTAGTTACATATAATCTCCCTCCATGGCTGTGCATGAAACGAAAGTTCATGATGTTGACCTTATTGATTTCCGGTCCTAAACAGCCCGGAAATGATATAGACGTCTACTTGGAGCCTTTGATTGATGATTTAAAATCTTTGTGGGATGGGATTGGAGGAGTGTATGATGCACATAATGGAGAATACTTTACACTCAGAGCTGCATTAATGTGGACAATTAATGATTTCCCCGCCTATGGAAACTTATCTGGTTGTGTTGTTAAAGGATATAAAGCTTGTCCAATATGCGGCGATGATACACCTAGTCACAGGTTGAAAAATGGCCACAAAATTTGTTACATTGGGCATAGAAAATGGTTACCGATCAATCATCCATATAGGAGGCAACGTGCAGCTTTTAATGGGAAACCTGAATATGGCACGCCTCCTGAGCCATTAACCGGAGAAGAAGTGCTGCATATGGTTGAAGATGGTGACAGAGTTTGTTGGAAGAAGAAATCAATATTCTTTGATCTCGAGTATTGGAAATACCTTCCTGTGAGGCATGTCCTAGATGTTATGCACATTGAGAAAATGTTTGCGATAGTATCATTGGTACATTGCTGGAGATCCCTGGAAAAAATAAAGATGGGATTGCTGCTCATTAGATTTATTGAACATGGGGGTCAAAACTGATTTGCAACCCGAGTATGGAGAAAGACGTACTCGTTTGCCTCCCGGGCCTTGGAATTTGTCAAGAGCAGAGAAGAGAGAGGTTTGCAATTCTTTCTATGGTATGAAGGTCCCTGAAGGTTATTCTTCAAATATAAAAAATCTTGTATCTTTACAAGATTCAAGACTTCTTGGCCTTAAATCACATGATTGTCATACCTTAATTCAACAATTGCTCCCTGTGGCAATTCGTTCTGTTTTGGAGAAGCCTGCAAGGTATGCAATAACTCGTTTGTGCTTCTTCTTCAATGCTATATGTGCAAAGACCTGTGATGTTTCCAAGTAGATAAGTTGGAAGAAGATGTAGTAGTTACTTTGTGTTTGTTGAGAAGTACTTTCCCCCTTAATTCTTTGATATCATGGTTCATCTAGTAGTACACTTGTCAGAGAAGTTCGTCTGTGTGGGCCAGTATATTTTAGATGGATGTATCCGTTTGAAAGATATATGAAAGTGCTAAAGGGGTATGTTCAGAATCGTACTCGTCCCGAAGGTTGCATTGCTGAGCGGTATATAGCTGAAGAAGCTGAGAGTTTTGTACGAGCATTTATATGATGTGTACAGTTGGAGTGCCTTCCAAGCCAAAAGATGGGAGTTTCAAAGCCATTATCAGGTTGCCAGTGGGTAGTTGATCGGGACCTGTTGAACCAAGCAATCTATATGTCTTGGAGAATACGGAGGAAGTCCTACCTTATATCGAGTACGTATGAGTTTTATTCTTTAAGTTTCCATTTTAAATTATTTCTTATGTTTATCTTATATGTTTGGGACCGTAATACTTGAATTTTGTGTGGTCATGTAGGCAACATATGATCCACATCCGACCGCTTATCCAAAATTTAGAAAGAGAACAAAGTGGCTGCAGGATAAGCACAATAGCACTTTCATTCAATGGCTACGCTTCAAGGTATATGTTATTGAATAACATATTGGACTTTTAATTTTCTTCTTTCTATGTTAGATTGAATTAAGTTATGATTAATTTGCAGGTTCAAAGTGAACTTAATGAGGACAATCATGGCGTATCAGAAAATTTAAGGTGGCTAGCAGCTGGTCCAAACATGGCAGTGCCATTATATAGGAGCTATCTCATTAAAGGTATTAAATTCAACATCAAGGCACAAGATGATGTGCGGACAACTCAAAATAGTGGAGTTTATTTACTTGCACATACTATGCAAGTTGCTAGTGCCAAGGATAAAAACCCAATTCTCTCAAATATGGGTTTCTATGGTGTCATTCAAGAAATTTGGGACCTTGACTACCAAAAGTTTACAATCCCAGTCTTTAGGTGTGATTGGATTGATAATACTTCTGGTCTTGTAGTGGACGAACTTGGATTTACCCTTGTAGATTTGAGTAAAATTGGACATAGGAATGACCAATTTGTTTTGGCTTCTCAAGTCAAACAAGTATTTTTTGTTGACGACCCGATGCATCGTGGTTGGTCGGTAGTGTTATCAATGCCTAATAGAGAATATAATGATGTTATTGGTGATGATGTCTTAGGTGATGTGAGAATTGAGTGTGAGCCATTTACTAGGGGGATGCCAAATGTTGACACATTTGATGAAGTGGTGGTTGAGTTAGGGAGTCAAAATATTCGAGATGGGTGTGAAGATATATGGGTTGAATGATGCTTTATGTAATTGGCAGTGTATGACATTAATTTTGTAATATATTGTAATGTGATTTCTTCACTTTCATTATACAGGTTTTGGCCACAAAACAATCAGTACAAAAATTACTGGTTCCAGATTACAAACACGACGGTTTTGATAAAAATGTGAAAAACAAACGTCTGTTCTAATAAATAACGACGTTTTGGAGCATTCAACGACCGCAATATATTTACCGACGTCTTAAAGCAAAGTAACAATGAAGAACCACGACGCTATTGTGAAACAGTTATCCAGGATAACACGTCGGACAAGCATAAAGAACCGCCATGTAATTCAAATAACACGACTCCAATCCCATAACACCGACGTCTAAAAGACGAGAACTTTAACCTGAACGTTACAAAAGACGACGTCGTCATGAATTTACCACGTCGCATGTTCTTTCATAAACGAAGTGGAAAAGGATGAATTCACGACGGTATTTGAAGTCCATTAAATTTGTCGACGTTAAGATTTATGAATTAGACGACGTTAATTTTTTAATGAAGACGTATAAATTATTAAACACGACGGTCTTTTTCATGGTACCGACGTTGTATATAGACGACAACGTCGTCCTTATAAATTACTGTGTCGTAATTAATGACCCATCATTTTTTCCACGTCGTTTATTTTCAAAATATGACGTATAAATTCTGTAATACGGCTCTCATTTATTTGGAACCGACGTTATTTATCAAATTCAACGTCGTCTCTGTAAATAATGGGTCGTAAGTAATGACCCTGACATCTCTTTCCACGTCATAATTCATAGAAAAATCGAAGTGGAAAATTTATTTTACGACGGTTGTGTGAAATGTTGTGACGTAGTAGGTGTCAATAACGTCGTCTATTATGATTGTAAAGACGTCGTATTTATATTTGTCATCTGTTTCCTTTTAACGACGTTGTTTTTGTTGGAGTTGGTCGTCTATTCTCATCCTCGACTGTTTTTTTATGTCTTTTGCAGCACAAAGACGTCGGTTTTTATTTTTGATGACGTTTTTGTATTTTAACAACGACGGTTATTCACCGTCGTGGTTTGGTTATGGAAAAGATGTCGGTGGATTCCACGACCATTTGAAAACAGAATACACGACGGTGAATTCCCGTCGTGGTTTTCCTTTTTTGTAGTAGTTTTTTTTTTTTTTTTTTTTTTTTTTTTTTTTTTTTTTTTTTTTTTTTTTTTTTTTTTTTTTTTTTTTTTTTTTTTTTTTTTTTTTTTTTTTTTTTTTTTTTTTTTTTTTTTTTTTTTTTTTTTTTTTTTTTTTTTTTTTTTTTTTTTTTTTTTTTTTTTTTTTTTTTTTTTTTTTTTTTTTTTTTTTTTTTTTTTTTTTTTTTTTTTTTTTTTTTTTTTTTTTTTTTTTTTTTTTTTTTTTTTTTTTTTTTTTTTTTTTTTTTTTTTTTTTTTTTTTTTTTTTTTTTTTTTTTTTTTTTTTTTTTTTTTTTTTTTTTTTTTTTTTTTTTTTTTTTTTTTTTTTTTTTTTTTTTTTTTTTTTTTTTTTTTTTTTTTTTTTTTTTTTTTGGGGGAACTTTGCCCCTTCCATCATAGGAGTAAACACGAAACGGGGTGAACAGGATTTTGACACAAGTTTACCATATCCCGAGAATATGACATAGAGTATTGAATTAGAGAATGATCAAATTGCATTGTAATTACAAACTGACTAGGTTCTCTAAATGAGTTATTTTTAGTTTGGGTAGCCATGACATACTGCTAGGTATCACTCATGGCTTATGGAAGCCCTGTAAGGACTAATTATAATTAGACTTTGCCAATATGGAGAATTGTATGGAGGGATACAATATTCACACTTGATTTAGAGCGAATCATTCATACCCACTACCTCGCTAATTAGAACCTATAAGATCGCACACAGAAAGGGAATCGATTAGGAAATTATGAAGAGAATGAATGATTTTGTGACTTTGTCAAAGTCAATCTGAAAGTCAAAGGTCAATCTCAAAAGTCAAAGGTCAAACGATTGACCCGACACTTGACACGGTCAACTAAGGATGACCGGGACCAACACTCATTAGACAAGTGAGTGATTGAATTAGTCACGTTACTAGAGTAATTAAATTGATTAGATTAATTTAATTATTCAATTAAAGTTATGAAACTTTAATTAAAGGTTCCATATGACTTGGAAATTCAAAAGGGATTTGACCATATGGACTTAGGCACATATGTGACACATTATAGGATTAATGTGTTGGACCAAGATAGCAAAAGATGACACACAAAAGGGGGGTGTGGCTACACCAGGGCTTGGGGGCAATTTTGTCACTCTTGTGACATTTTTGATCCTATAAGTGTGTAGCTATAGAATCCTATCATCCTAGGGTTTTTCAAGTTGGTGAAATTGGAAGAGAGAAAACATCAAGGTCTCTCTCCCTAACCCCTTGAATCTATCACACCAAGTGAAGGTGCTAGCACCACTCTTCACTTGTCTACTCATTCTCTCATCCCATTCAATCTGTGGTGAAGAGCTTTGGGGAGGTGCATATCTTTGTACCTATTTGGAGAACTACAAGGTGGAGAATCAACATCAAAGGAAGAGCCAACAACAAAGGGACCACTCCCTCTACTTGAACACCATTCTTGGTTTCAAGATTTGCTCCAAGGGTATGAACATCTTATCTTTCTTTCAAATAGGATTTAGAGAGTTCTTGGTGCACACTTTCATAAACTTATAAAGGTTGGGATCAAATGAGACTTGCATGAATCCCTAGTTTATTTAATGCTTCCGCTCTTACTTTGATTTCATATTAGACATGGCATGCTAGGTGATTTATACTCTCAAAGTTTGGTTGTAGAGTTTTTAGAAATTTCTACACAATACAATTCCCACAATATTCCCATCAATAAGTCTTAATTACAAAGTGAGTAAAGGAAAATAGGTATGTTGTTCATGGGTTGAGATATTACGATTTTATTTAAAGGGAAAAGATGATCTTAAAATTCACTTATTGGTATTATTGAAAACAATTGAATGTTATATACATATTTTCGATGCCTTTTAACAAGATTTACTACACTAATTATATATTTCCTCATGTCTTAAGAGGTAAAAACAACAAGATAATGTTATACCTGATGCTTATTTACAGTTATAACTTCGCCACTTTACTAATGGTGATACCATATGTGTAATGCACTTAAGTCGAATCTAGGTTTGTGATGTCTCATATTTTTAAGGCATAAATTTGAAGAATTATATGTATTCATTTGTCCCAAATAGCATCAACTTTTTAAGGCATCAGTTTTAAGAATTATAGACAAATTAAAGCAAGCAATGTACCAAATGCATATTTTTGTTCCCCTGCAAGTAATCTCTTGTAATCCCAAATAAAAATAAAAATAAAAATAAAGTCATCGTATTTCAAAATACATCATTTATAGTCCAAACTTCAAACTGTCCCACATTAAAAAGCTGGAAAAGAAATAGCATATAGGCTACAACACCAACATTGAAAAGCTTACATGTCAGACTACAAGGAAAAATGCATTTGGCGACGGACACTTTCTTACAATATATGAACATTTGATTACTAAAATGACGTATACCTTTGGGTCTAACACATTGATCATTACCCTGAAAATAAAAAGACACCAAAATTATTTCATTGTCACTGTAGACACTACCAATTCATCAATGAACTGGTACTTGGCTAATAAAACCAAAGTTTGAATAGAACTTCATCCATAATTTTTGCTAGATAGGTGCAGAATTAACAACCACTACATAGAAACATACACCTGCACATCCTTAAAAGAGAACCACTCATTGGAAGACTTAACCAAAGGGAATAAGAAGAAAATCGCACACGCTTGAATGTTCTATAGAACCAAAAGGAACCAAACCAGATCATAAAAAATACGATAGAATAATGAAAGGGGAGATGTAAGATGTAAGGGAGGGAGAGAAAATGTATACACGATGATTCATAATCAGCGTGAACTTTTAGTATACGAAACACAACAGAAAATTACAGTTTTTTCAACACTTGGTAAAGCAACATTGTTTATCTGATACTAATAAGTTAGAGGGAGTTGGAATTTGATTAAGCCTAGAGCTCAAATGAACAAGCATAAAACAAAATCAAATGAGAGATAAAACTAAAAAGTAAAACAGAGGATTTGCTCTGCATTAGACTCTTCAGACTAAGTAAAACAGAAAACTTAAAAAATGAATATTAGAAGAAGCAAAGATACAATTGCAAATAAGCAAGCCAATTCCTGTTAACAACCAGTATATGAAAAGAACACAAATCTGTTAGCAAAGATAAATTTGTCAAAAGTCCACCACTTAACCAAATCCGTAAGGATAAAATACAAAACTGTTAGAAATTGTCAGCAACGAATAAAATTCACATGCATATCACCAAGACTGGGCAGGTTCGATTAGGAGGTTCTTTTTTTCCTAACCTTCCAACAAACAGCCCCAACTTAGCCCCTGCGCAAACAAGAATTAAATGAAACACTTCCTCAACAAATTTAATCCACTCAATTATCAAATTAAATCAAACAAAACAAAAGCCTCATTCAAACATTACATATGACCAAATCACATATCTCATCTGAGTCTCCCTCACTCCCTTATCTAGATTATATACGGCCATGCCTCTACATCTAATTTCACATCTACACCTGATTTCCAATTAATTTAACATACCAAAACCAACAAAAGCAGAATATTTAAACATTTTTTACTTAACCTTTTTTTCCAGAACCAAACAAAACCCCCAACTTAATTGGATAGCACAATCCCCAAGCAAAGAACCTACAATCCACAACAAACCAAAATCAGAAAATTCGAAAAACCGAATTTGTAGGTCACCACCTCCAAGAATAAAAAACCAAGAGCTACTTCACTGGCAAGGAAAGTAACTGCACCTAAATAACAGTCTAAGAGGGAAGACACAGAATTGTCCAACTTCCATTATGAGATTTTTTTTTTTCCCTGACCTTTCAAGTAATTCCACATAGATTTTACTGTTATAACAACACAAAGATCTAATTTGAAGTTCTCATTATCATTTACAATAAGCAGCAGTTCTAGTTGATCCAAATTCAGTCGGTAAAATGAGTTAAGAAGGTGAACATAACCACACAAGACGCACACCAACAACAACATTCACCATTTTGTGGATTTACACTTTGTCGATAAAGCACTGCCGTCGAAGTAGGACTGGAAGGTCCTGATAACTTCCTCATATGTTGGCCTCTTGTAGTCCACTGCCTGTGATTAGTAACCACCCATATCTGATTATGTCCACAAAACACAATGATTCAATTAAATTAACCGGAAGGATTATTTTTCAGCACACCTGCTCAATAACTTCTTCAGGGCTCGCACATTTCCACTCTGCAAATTCTGGATCAGCTGCCCCATTGGCTAAGTTGATTTCACTCTCATCTTTTGTGAATCTCATAAGAAACCTGTCAAGTGCCCAAATTCATTGTTAAGCAGCAGCAGCAGAAACTTTTGCATCTCTTATTTCCATCCATTCGGAGAAAAATTACAGATCTATATAAGCAAAGGAAGCACATTAATTTTCCACCGAGAGAAGAAGCCTGATGTAACTGAATATACATGGTAAGCAAGCTCAATATCAATTCTATAATTCAGTTGAAACATACAAAGACATTTCATTTTCATGTCCCATAAGTCCCCAGATGGCTCAAAGCACTTGTGGTTATGCCCCAGGCACCAGAGTGAGCCACTAAACATGTCAGGAGTTCGTAGAAAAACAGAATATACACATCCTCAATAACATGATCATATAAGGAGAAACAGCAGAGTACATGCAATGACAATCACATTAATAAAGATCTGCAATTACAATGAGGAAATTGTCTCTTAATGTGCTGAGAATACAACATTACATACTTGCAAGCTTAAGAAGGCAGGTCTTAGAAGAATGGATATTGTTTTTAATTCATGAAGTGTGTGCATGTGAAGGAAGAAGGACATGCCATTTTTGTGCTTGCCCTTGCCATTCACCTCCCAAGAGACGATTTACTTTGGTCTTCACAGCAGGCGGAAAGTCATATGTCTTCGGAACTTGTCAATACACACAACCTCAGTCTTAAGCGTGGAAGATTGACTGCTATGAAAATTCAGCTGCTCAGCATAGTTATGAAGCATGCAGCATATTTTGACTATAATTTAGAAGTTTTGAACTCCATCCAAGCCATTACTTCATGATACACTGGAGTTTTACAAATTCAGTATTTTCATAGTGGTGATTATGGGATTTTTTTTTTTTTTTTTTTTTTTTTTTTTTTTTTTTTTTTTTTTTTTTTTTTTTTTTTTTTTTTTTTTTTTTTTTTTTTTTTTTTTTTTTTTTTTTTTTTTTTTTTTTTTTTTTTTTTTTTTTTTTTTTTTTTTTTTTTTTTTTTTTTTTTTTTTTTTTTTTTTTTTTTTTTTTTTTTTTTTTTTTTTTTTTTTTTTTTTTTTTTTTTTTTTTTTTTTTTTTTTTTTTTTTTTTTTTTTTTTTTTTTTTTTTTTTTTTTTTTTTTTTTTTTTTTTTTTTTTTTTTTTTTTTTTTTTTTTTTTTTTTTTTTTTTTTTTTTTTTTTTTTTTTTTTTTTTTTTTTTTTTTTTTTTTTTTTTTTTTTTTTTTTTTTTTTTTTTTTTTTTTTTCCCCCAATTTCTCAACACCTGGCATATACCTAAGTGATCATTAGACAATTAGCTAGTCTTACATAAGCACTTGATAAATCACTCAGTTTTGCCACCCAGGCGGGTTCATATGTTAATTAAATATAGGCAACAACATGCATGTATACTGTCAGCTCAGTTCTCAAGGTTAACAAAAGTGTAAATACATTCAATTATATTATACAATAAATTCAACTATTTTTCCCTTTTCAATTTTATTTTTAAATTTCAAATATTAAATAGCTAATAATTATAATCACACCTAGTCAACCTCACAGTTCTATCTTCACACCCAGTTGCAATCCAACTAGATGTAGAGAAGAGGTTGTGCTTCCCATATACCCCAGGTTGAAATCTTTATGGGACAAAGCATAGGGAATGCATCTCACCCCCATGGAATTGCATATGCAAATTCCTGGAGAGTATCTTCCTTTCACCATCAAGCACCCACTGCCTATGAATATAAATGATTTCATCCTAATAAATCAAAGAAATATAGTGCAGAGTTAAGATAAAATTTAAATGGAACCTTATCTTTTCAAAGTAAACAAATAATGAAACATATGATCAATTATTAACAAAAGATAGAAAGATGCGCTTAGCAGCAAAACAATTCACAAAGCAATTCACGACACAAAACTAAAGGAACTCATATCATGCATTTTATGGATGTGTATTTTCAGATGATAAAAAATACTTTTGACCTACTCCGTGGATATACCTTTCCACAATGCTTATTTGATTTTATTTGTTCTTCTGAGATTACCAATTCTAAGTAGATTGGCACGAACCTTGACATATGAAAAGCAGTTCTTTATTTCTGGTACATCACCAAGATAATAGGAATGAGGACGACTCCATCCACCGCATGGAATTTGCACAACCTGCAATAAAATATGGGTCCTTAGGCATCAAAATAAATTACAAAAACAACCTACAAATCATTTCAGTAAGCAGTCTGAGGTACAGGAAAAGACTACCTTTGGTCTCAGTTATTAAGTTCCAAATAATAAAATCCACTGATGCAAAACCAGCAGCACAATGGCAGCTCGACAACTCATTGACAGAGCTATTATCGGTGGAGACAGATTGAATAAGACTCAACTCCTTCACTTGCTAAATCGACAATATGTACAAAAAGATAATGATTTTCACAAATAATTTACAATTAAATACCCAAATATTTTAACCATTTCTATTGTAAGCTCTCTTTTTCTCTCCAGCCATTGAGATCACTTTGATGGCTGAGATGGAGCCGCAAATAGGGGTTCGCAAAAAGGAGTTCCCACCTGAGCCGCGTGCTTCTTCATAAATGCAAACCCAGATATGGCTCTCCAGGCCAGGCTTCGTAATTTCATAGACCACTTCTCCATGATCATCATCATCATCATGAAATTTATAGGCCATCATCACCCTGTCATAACCGGTGAGTTCAAAAACCTCTTGGACCATTGTACCACAAAGCCTCTCCATGCTCCCACTAGGCAAAGACTGCAATCGGGCAATTGCTTTAGCTGCAAGCTTGTATGACTGCAGGGCCCCAGCAGCAGTGCAGTCATAGGGACTTCATAAGGCTTCACGGGCTTTTAGTCAATGATCAAACTGCCCGTTAATTGATGGGTTATTGCATAAAAAGGCTTGCCAGAGGTCTTGCAATGGATGTAAGATGGGATTCATTTAGGAGAACCTCCCCAAATCCGAGGGCCTTATGCAATGCAGAGGCACTAGGGGCAATGAAAATTGTTCTTACATTACATCTGTTCCTCTGCCAAGAACAGGGGTAGTCCCCAACGCTTGGGACTGCATCACCTTGCCTCGTCAAATATAAGAATCAGAACCTCAATCAATCATTTCAATAACAAAGGATAATCAAACCTACACAATCACATAATAGAAGTATATCAAAACATCTTTGAATGCATTGCCATGTAACTGGTAAAAGCATTATTGGTAGCTACAATACAAAATATAAAAAAGGTGAAAAAAACCAAACAAAACAATTTCATGTTTCCTATTGTGATCTAGCAAGTATCACAATTAGATTTTATAACTAGTATGTCAAAATGGGTGCTAATTATTGTCAACCCCCACTAAATTCTACACCTAACCATGTTCTATGCATATATAAGAGCTAGCATTGTGAGAAATTTTGAGAATCGAATCATGGGGAGAGACAGGTGTTTAAAATGCATTTGAAAAGCGTCCAAAATGTGATCGATTACTTTTCTTTGCTACTTACTCAACCAGAAAATTGCACAGCCCGCCCACCCCTGAAAAAAAAAAAAAAAAAAAAAAAAAAAAAAAAAAAAAAAGAGGTAAAATGAGTGAGATCGGTTGAGCTAAGTTTGACGAACAAGGTGTACGCCACAACACAACACAACATATAAATTGGATCACTTGCTAAAGGCTACCATTCTATTTCTTAAACCTTGATGCTCTATTTGTACCTACAAAATTAAGGCACATTGTGGTCTAATTGTAACCAGAAAAGCTAATACTAATTTTACGTAACAACTTGTTCCTCATCTCTCATTTTTATTTTTGTGTGGGTAGAATTTAAAGCTCGTTTCTTGATTTTAAAGTAGCACCCATTTTGACATACAAGTGATAGCTACCATTTTGCATGACAGTCTACTTAATTTTGGGACCAGGCGGGCGTTTCGAGGTTGCAGGGGTCACTTGACCACTCTTGCTCTTATGTGCATCCGTCCGCCACTGCTCCTCAGTTGACCACTCTTGCTCCTCAAATTGGCTGCAATAGTAAGCTGGCCTCCGTTTGGCATAACATTAATTGATACGGCTAAGAAATCAGCTAACACTTGTTGAAGCCCAAGACTACCGCCATATAAGGTCCCATTCATGATCTCTTCTGCTACATCATGGACAATCCGGATACTCCTGGCGTTGCTCTTAATCATGACTTGACTGAGGCAATTCATGCAAAGTGAACTCAACCATTTCCAAGTCCAAGTAGCTGTCAAGGGATTACAAAACAGAGAATTGTTAAGACCACAGTCAGAATGAACAAATAAACAAGAACTACTCCCCTTTCTTTTGCAGTCTTTATACCCTCTATTCTTATCACTATAATTATCAAAATATCATCACGTAACTTGATAGCAATACTACAACATGGTTTAGATATATTTTCTACAGAGAGAGAATATGGGGGTCAAAATCAATAGCTTCTACAGAAAAGAATGTGTTCATGTTTAAATGTGCCAGCATGTAAGTTTTTTCACAGAATCTGAGCTACTATAAACTAATTATCTGATTCTGTGTAGCTGTGTTAATGTGAGGTGAAAAGGAAAAAAAGAAGTCACTCTTAACCAACTAGAACTCATCTTACCCGTCAATGATGGTATCAAGATCCGAGTCATCCAGTATTTTGTTGAGTTTGTATTGGCACTGGGCACTAGTATGCAGAAGCTGTTTTTGCTCTGCTCCCAATTCAGTACCCTCCATCAATTTCTGAGAAAATATTTGCCAGATAAAGGATTCCGGATCTTCTTTTTAACAGAAGACAATTCTTTCAATCTCTTCACAGCGGTTTGTTCTCATAAGCGCTGGACATGGAGTGCTTCTTGTTGCTCTGGGCTAGCAAGTTGCAAGAAGCAAAACACCCCTGTGACTGAGCCCTCACTGTCCAATTTCTTGCTCACACACAACAGGCATTCTATGTGCTTTCCACTGCGAGCACAGAAACCAAAAGGAACCTTTTCGGATACCTGACCTGTCATGGCATGGTTAAGTACAACACCAAGATTTACGAAAGCTTCCTGACTCTTCAGACGACAACAGGCCTTGTTGATCCCAAAAACCTCCCCAAACAACATTTTATCCATTACCTCCTCTCGTTTCCACCCAGTTAACTTCGTCATTGATGGATTCCACTCAGAACACCAGCCAAATTCATCAGTGCCAAATATTGGGGGTGATCAATGGGTTTCAATCCGGGTGAACTTGTCCATCACAGTCTTCTGTCCAGTGATATCCTAGGCCACAAAACAAACCCCCACAACATTTTCACGAATTTATCTGCTTGCACAAGAATTCAGAACTAAGCTGATGGCACCAAGGTCACTGTTAGAACCATGCGTTTTTATCTCAAATTGGATGTTTCGTTCCTCTTTGCCTGATCAAAAGAAAAGGATAACCACCTATGCCAGGCCATGGCAGAAAGAACAATTTGAAGGGCTCACCTGGTGGACTGTGTCATGGTAAAAGTCATTCAATTTTAAGGCATGTGCAGGGCTTCCAGTCAGACCTCGAGGCTCACCAATATTTCCACCAGCATACTCCTTGTAGGGAAATGCATATAGATGACCAGCAGCAGCAATTAGCATCTCAACACATATTATGAAATTTTGATATTGAGTAGCATCCTCTGCATTCTTTATTAATCCAGATTTGGCGACAAGGAAAACCAACACACCCTAAAAGGTAGACAATAAGAGTCAGAAACGAACTAAATAAGTTTGCAACTTGGACCAACCTATCAGCAGAAAACCAAAGGGGGGAAAAAACATTCTACATCTTTTGCTCTTAATGCATGAGCATGTGATATACAACGTAGTGCAAATTGCTAACACACAATACACCAAATATTGCTACTAATAAAGTGAGACATATGTTTACCTGCCAATAAGTGAGGAAAATGACAGATTTGATTATAATAAACTTCAGAACTGGATTGAAAGGCTGAAGCAGATCTCTGCAAGACGCATAAAATATTGCCAAAGCATAAAGAGCCATCGTGTATGAGATTGTATAGATAATAGTGAGATACAGGTACGACTGATTTGGACAGAAATTTCCATCTGCATATTTCCCTTTTGGGTAAAGTATGAGTGTAACGGCAGCTAATACGAGCTTCAGTATCACAAACTGCAAACAGCCTTGCTTGCACGTACGTATAAAACCCCTGCATTGACAGTTTTAAGCGTATGAGTTCATCAAACAATCATCTCATAAATACACATTATCACATATTGTTATATAAGAAACCCCCATATTTTCCAGAGATCTCCTTAGTTATGCAGGCCTCTGCCTATTATGTAGTGATCCCTGCTTTTATCCGTGTAAATAAAAACAAGGTAATCACAAGTAATACATAAAAGACCAAAACCACTGCTAACATTAGAAAATAGTTCACATATATTTCAACTTGAGAGAAAAAGAAATCTCAAGTAAGAATAGAATTCTGTGATTTTTCTTGCACCAGAAATTCCTGGCTTGCAGATATTGGCAAATTAAGCATAGATTGTGAACTCACAGAGGTAACATGTCATCAGAATCCACTAAGGCTTTAGAATCCTACCAGTTAAACTTAAGACAACAGATCCTGGGCCACCAACCCATGCCAAGCACAGCGACAGAAAATTATAAATGACCCACGCTTCATAAACAGAAAAAAAAAAGTAGCAATAGCATGAGAACAAAAGATACAGCTCGTAATTTCCTACAATTATTCAGAGAAACATATACTTAAGCCTTATCTTGTAATAAACAGGCGAAGAGAGAGAGAGAGAGAGACGGTGAGGGAAGGGGTGGCTTGGTGGAGGTCGAAGCTATTGGGAGGGTGGGGCTGGGAGGGAGTGGTGGTGCTGGGTCGCAGCAGAGGTGGTAAAGGGTGGTGGAGGCATCTGCGTTAGGGTGGAGGTACAGTAGAGAGATTTTTTTATTATTTAAAATATTTTATTATTTATGTTTCCATTGTTTTATTTTGTATTAGGCTTAATTATGTAAGTGTCTCCTGTGCTTTCAAATTTGTCTCAGATTACCACATGTGTTTGCAAACGTCTCAAAGTACCTCCCAACCTTTTAAAAACCGTTTCACGTTACTCGTTACATTAGTTTTTTAGACATTCCGTTACGAACGTTGGACCCCACTTCGTTTTAACATTTAACCTCTTCGAATAAAGGTTTCTCAGTTCTAATAAAGAGGGAAATTGGGTGAGAAGGGGAAATTGAAGAAGAGGGCTTAGGGTTTGTGAAAATCTGAGGTTGCCTTCGATTTTGGGAGAATTTGGAGAAGAAATCATTGTTTGGCGTTGTCACATCCCGGGATCGGCTCCGCCGTAGCACGATATTGTCCGCTTCGAGCCCCCCTCTCTTCCCTCATGGTTTTGTTTCTGGGAGCTCACGAGCAACTTTTCAGTGGGTCACCCATTCTGGGATTATTCTAGCCCCAACTCGCTTAACTTCGGAGTTCCTATGACTCCGAAGTCAATGAGCACCCAAAAAGCCTCGTGCTAGATGGAGGCGGGCATGTACATATAAGGCACATCAACCTCTCTCCGTTGGTCGATGTGGGATGTTACAATCCACCCCCCTTTAGGGGCCTGACGTCTTCGTCGGCACACTCGCACCACACGGCAGAGTGGCTCTGATACCAAATTGTCACATCCTGGGATCGGCTCCGCCGTAGCACGATATTGTCCGCTTCGGGCCCCCTTCCCTGCCCTCATGGTTTTGTTTCTGGGAGCTCACGAGTAACTTCCCAGTGGGTCACCCATCTTGGGATTGCTCTAGCCCCAACTCGCTTAACTTCGGAGTTCCTATGACTCCGAAGCCAGTGAGCTCCCAAAAGGCCTCATGCTAGATGGAGGCGGGCATGTACATATAAGGCACATCATCCTCTCTCCGTTGGTCGATGTGGGATGCTACAGGCATTAGACTTTAAGGCTAGAAAGTGCGAAGATGGTGGTGCTTAGAGAATCTGGAGGTTGTCAACCCATATGTAAGTGGACCCATTCTCACTTGATTTTCTTGATTTTGGCATGTGCATTGAACTGCTGTTAGGTTATTTTTTTGTTTTTGTATACTTGTTGACTCTGTGCTGGTCATGGTGTGGTCATTGTGTGGTCCTTGCGTGTTCCTAGTCTGGTGTGTTGCTGGAGTTTTTTTTTCTGTTTTTTCATATACTTTTTTACTCTGTGCTGGCCCCAATACACCTTATGTGGTCCTTGTGTGTTCCTTGTATTATCCTTGTGTGGTCATTGTTTTGTCTGTTGTTACCTTTGTCCATTTGTTAAGTGAATCTTCCTCTTGCACAGATAAAAATGCTGATGAGGTTGTCATATTTAAGTTTTTCCATAGAGGTAAACTAGTTAAAAATATAAAGGACAATGAATGATCTTATTTGGGTGGTGAAGTCAGTTGGTTTGATGATTGTGAGGTTGACTATATGTCTATGTTAGAGCTATTCGGAATGGCTAAAGATTTGGAATATGACGATGGGTATGATGTTAGTTTTTATGGTGAAGAGTTTGGAACTGGTAGACTCATTCAAATAATATCAGATAGTTCACTTTTAGCTTGTACGAGCAAGGTACCTAAAAGCAATAGTAGGGTGATAGTTTTGTACTTGAAAGTAGTGAGCCTGACTCCAAGCCAAGTGGGGAATGATAGCAGTGATCAAGAATATTCTTATTCTGAGGATGATAATAGCAGTGATCCAGACTTTGAAGACAGTGACTATGCACAGAGTGATGAAGAGATTGACTTATTGAAGAAGGATGATAAGTGGTTTGAAGGTTATGTGGATTATAGTTACATTGACAATGATCCTAATGCAGAGGAAAATGATGAGTCAGACAATGGAGAAGAGTCATCTACGCTTACCTGCCCAAATAGGTCTTCAAGTGAAGATGATGCAGTAGGTGAACTAAGAAGGAAGAAGAATAGGATGCCAAAAGGTGAAGATTTCAGACCTGAAATTGATATGGCAAACCCAGATTTCAAAATAGGTTTCAAGTTTGCAACTGCCGAGTTGTTTAGAAAAGCTTTGAGGATATGCTCCATTAATTGTGGAAGGGAGTTGATATTTATGAATAATGACCGTAACAAAATAAGAGTAGTATGTGAAGAGGGTTGTCCTTTTGTTATCCATGGTTCAAGTGTTAGTGGTAGCATTTACTTGCGGAGATAGATTCTAATCTATATCAATAAAAAAAAAAAAAGATTCTAATATTTGATTCAACATTGCGGAGATAGATACGTGATTCTTGGAAAAATTTCTCTAGTATGCAACCATACTTAGTACACAAAGCACTGTTCTATATAATATGGTTAAATTTCACTTTACTATCCGGAAGTTTCCCGAAATTCAAACTTTGCTAGAGTAGAGGTAGAGTAGAGAGAGAGTTTTTATTATTATTTATGTTTTCATTGTTTTATTTTCATTTGTATAAAAAGAAATTATTATTTATTTAATTATTGGTCCACATGGCACAATTTCAATGGGTCAATGTTAGGGATAGCAGAAATTCCCGTCAAGTCCTAGGCCCTAACAAGGAGAGATTTCAGGACAAAAGAGGGATTACATACGGGAATTCCTGAATTTTAAAATTCTCCGTTGGGTACGGGCCGAGGATGGTATTAGCATCCCTGTCCCCGAGCCCGGCCCGATAATTAACTTCGCTATAAAAAGGCATGAACCAAAAAAAAAAAAAAAAAAAAAAAAAACAAAGGCAGGAGAGAAAACACAGAGGGGAACCGAAGGGCCGCAAAGAAGGGCATAGGCAAAAAGTAGGAGTAGAAAGAAACCAAAGGGCTGCAGAAATAGATACTGAAGCAAGAGAAGACTAGGGTCCTGCAAAAATCCAGAGACAAAAAAAAAATGTTGCAGAAAAGAAGGCAAAAGTTCGGAGAGAAAACAAAGAGGCTGTTGGGATTCCGATTGAGGAGGAAGAGAAAGAAAAGGGCATAAGAAAGGCAAGGTATAAAGTTTATTTCTTCTCTAGAAAATTTCATCATGTTTCTCTGTGCAGTATATTCCCTTGCGGCTCAAAACTCAAACATCTTATGCGAAGTTTAATTAAACAAGCCTCTGCAAATGGCATTTCCTGAGCACCATACAGAAGTCGACCTATAAAATAACAATCATGGTGCACCAAATTGATGATAGATTTCCTAACAAAGTTCAAAGTCCCCTTCTGCTGTTGTCTACCATAAAGGCTTTGAGAATGTGCACTGCGAAATTCCTCCATGTCCTTACTGTCAAAGAAGTCTCATGAGACTACTGCAGGCAAAAGAAATTCATCATTCTCAAAAAATAATTGAAGAATTCATGTCTCTGGTGTTAGAGAAATTTCAAGAAATCACACAAAAGGGAGCTCTCGCAAGGACCTCCCTATTGTGAAAATATACAGATGGGCTTCCGCAAGAAGCCCACTGTATTAAGTGCTATGAGCAACTTGCAGGTGTTCATAGGCATACTTGACGAAAATCTTGCAGGTGTTCATAGGCAACAAACACAGACACTAACCAAAGAAAGAGGAAGAAGGCAATATGAGACAAACAAGATTGCAAATAAAAAAGCTTATCTGATGAAGAAGAACCCGCAGAAACCGATCTTGGAAATTATTGAAAATGACAGGGAGAATATGTTTTCTCATTACGTTTTGTCTACAAGATTACAAAGGTAGTCTAGGGGTTGTCGGCCAACACACACCAACCCTTAACTTTAGCCCCTAATTATAGGAAAACTTTAATTACAACACATCCCCTAAAATAAGGAAATGAGACAACCACCAGCCAATCACAACTAGCAGCCACCAAGCTAATCATAGCTAGCAGCTACCAATACTCCCCCTCAAGCTGGATCAAGGATATTAATTGATCCAAGCTTGGAAAGCAAGCGTTGAAACTGAATGAAAGCAAGAGACTTGGTGAAAACGTCAGCAAGTTGATCATGGCTTCGAGTGAATGTGGTTTGAATTACCTTGGACTGAACTTGTTCACGAACATAG